AAAATTAATATATAAATTTTTATCATTAATTTATACAGCTAACGATTTATTTTTCATGATAATATTTTATATATTTTTAAAAATTAAAACGAGATTTGTATTTCCATTGATATTAGTTATACAATTGCGTCAAAATTATTTTAAATTCCATACTATACGAGAAGAATATATATATGTTATATATGTTTTCTTACTTATCTCGATATAATATTTGATAATATTTGATAAAATTTGATCACATTTGTAAAATTTAGAACTACTCGATTCAAAACTAATGCAAATATCTGAATATCTCATAGTTTTTTTTCCTTCCTCCTTGAAAGTTTTTGAGAATGTGACAGCGGAGAAAGGTAAGTTTAGCCTCACTTATGCATTTGCCAAGCTTCTACGAAATCCAAGGTGCTAGCAAGTCGCGGATAACGAAATCCATGCGGCAAATCAATTTTGCACGAGTCCTCTGGGATTTTCAATGACTTTTGACGTTCTGGTTGAGCTTCGACCGGACGCGAAAAGACGAGGATTCGAGAGCGAAGCGGGTGGATGAGAGGATGGGCTTCCGTGACGCGGAAGAGAATTCGTTACATTATTCAACAAGACCACACGGAACACACGCTAGACAGGAAGAAAGCATTTCTTATTTTTGCCAATCCTACTTGCTATTCCGATACAAAGAATTTGTCCACCTAACGCACGAACAAGAAACTATTATTCCAACCGGTCTAAAAGTATTTGTTTTACAAAATACGTATAGATCGATGAAAATAATTATTTCCAGTGAATAAAAATTTAAAAATCATTCCGAATATGGATACATTTTCATTAGATAAACTCGTATTAACGTTTAAGTTAACGTAACGAATGATATATCGATATTTCGCATTAATTACCACCATTTGCGGTATGTACGCTGTTATCAAGGAACGTCATTTGTCTTCTAAGGAAGACGGACATGCGATGTACTATATCGATCCAAAGCTTCGCAACAAGCGATGTAACATTAATTACCGATATCTAACTTAGATCCTGTTATTAATCATCATCGATACCGCGAATAAAATTAGGTATGTTTGTTAAATGCAAACCAAATAAAATATTTGAAAAATTTATATTCCTTTTTATTTAGTTTTCGTACGAATAATTTATATATATTTAAATTAGAGAGTGTGTATTAGAATACACGCGTAAGTACACGGTATACGTACGACAATGTATATATTAAAAATAATAAACGAAAGAATTTAATATCTAATATCTTTAATATGACAAAATGTTTTTCCACATCTTATATTATTATTAACAAGTCAAAGTTTCTAGCGCCCAAACGCGAGATTTATATTAAATTGTTCGATTTATTTTCTTTATCCAATTTATGAACAAAATATATTTCGACAATTGTCTATAGGAAAAGAAAAACGCAGCGATAATTTTATAACGTTCAGAAATATTTATTCGGAAAGTATCGTAAAAAATATGTATACAAATGTTTTGAAACGAAAAACTTGTAGAAAAGTATTGAGGAAAGTAGCGAAAGGAAATTTCTTGGAAAAAAAGAGGGAAAAAAGAGAAAATAAAAAAATATAAGGAAATAAGAATACACATATACCTGAAATGTATATGTATATGGAAATATGCAAATGTACTAAAAGTCACGCGGATGTTCCCATTTCATTTACTATATATGCAAAGATATATTTACTTGGAAATATTTTAAACACGAAACATTACAATCGATGTTTTCTACTTTCGTATATTCCTTATATCTCCTACACTCCTTTTTCTATTCATCATAGATCCGAGATCGAACTCTCGATTTTTGACGAGTTAATATCTCGCGCGCTATAATTTGAATAATTTCATTTCAAACTTGTAGGGACACGGAAATATCTTATACCTATACCTAGATCGATACAGCCTTATTTTCTACACGCGACATGTTTTCCATACGATTAATATTCGCAACAACGGGGTAGAACGAGAAAAAAAATATGATGAAACACACGGATAACGACACATATATTTCAACATTAATTAATTCATATGTGAAAAAAAATTATTTCGTTGTCAGAAAGGAATAATTTAATCGGGTGTATACAAATGTTCAATACTTTGGATGGAAATAAAAACGTTATATATAATATCGGTAATGCTTAAAATTAGTTAATCGTAGTAAAAATTCACGACGTTACAATTCATTCGTTCGTTTAGGTACTCTAAAATCCATTAAGAGAAAATGCACGCAAGCGCCACTTTACCGCGACCAGTGAGGTACCTGTTCAAACTTTTAATCGGATCGTTTCCCTCGTTTATTCTCCATCTCTCGTCAGCTATTCACACGCTTTCTTTTTCTCTCTCAATTCTATCTTCAGCACTTTTGATACCTTTTTATAATATCACGAATATCAGCGAGATTTTCTTTTCATCATCAAATCGTCTTTCCGTAAAAACTTTTTGTCAATTTGCCACCGATTTAATTTTCTTTTTTTTTTTTTTCCAAACATTTCAACTATATTCGGTATCGCATAAAAAGAGATATTTTGGAATTTTTAAACGAACTTTTCAACTCGTCGTACGTAACAAAACGAAACGTCGATGTTTATTGGATCGCATCCCTAATTTTGATATAATAACGGCGCAAAAAAAAAAGATGAAAAGATAGAAGAAAACTAAAAATACGTTATGGCTTTTAGAGATAGAATCGGAGAAAAAGATTGGGAGGAAAGAAGAAAATGAAGCGAACGGTTTGCGGCATAGCTAGTTTCTCTTCTGCCATACGGTTTTCTTTTATCGAGTTGGGCAGATCCAATAGGGATTACGAAAACTGGATGGAATAGTAGAACAGGATAGAATAGCATCTCTCGCAGGATTTTCTCAGATCCTCTTTCTTCGATTCATAAATATCCCTCGGCTATAATACCGTGCTGAAAGACTCCCATGAGTACCTTTGCGATATTCACTATCGAAACAACTTCTCCGTACAACATTTTTATCCCTTATCCCGTCCGCTCGTCCAACGCGTGAAAACGAATCGAATCTTTTCATATTATAAATACAATTTTAGATGAAACGATAGAAATAACGATACGAACGATAAATATCGGTTTAAAATGTAAAAAAAAAAGAAAAAGAAACAAAAACAAAAAAACAAAAAGAAAAGTCCATTTTTGCAAAATAACGAAAATGTACTTACGCTGCGATGTGTTATGCACAATGTGTTATATCGGAGCTTAACAACGTTTAATCCGTTAATCTGATCACACGGTCGCTCGAATCAATTTACGTAATGTACGATCGGTTCGAGGATTCTCTTGGCCGAAAATCTGTGGTTTAAATCATTGAAATCTCGCAGCTGCTTCTTCCATAACTTCCACTTTTATACGACTTCCCGTCATATGCACTCTCTTTCATTATCGGTTTCATCTTTCTTCTCTTTCCTTTTTCCTCTTCTTTTCTGAAAATCTGCCAACGCCATAAGTGCCATCAAGTTGGATGTGCCTTTAAATTTCTTTAGATTTACGATTTCAATATCGTTTTAACGATACCTCTTGAAATTGAACACGTCATTAATTTATAGAGAGAAAATGCTTTCCGTAAATATTTAATCAGTTTCCAGCCAATTTACCACCTCTTTACGAAATCTAACATTCTCTCTCTCTCTCTCTCTCTCTCTCTCTCTCTCTTTCTCTTCTTTTCCAATTACCAGTTATTCACCGGTAGAAAGGAAAGAAAAAAAAATAAAAATAAAAAAGATTTTCGACCGTCTTTCCATCGCTGACATCAGGCACATCCGTATCGAGATAAAAATCTTGCAATTTCACAGACTTGGAGAAGCTTGTGATACCGGTATATCTTACTCGAGGAAATTACACGCATTTTTCTTTTCTGCGTTGCATGGGAAGAAGAGAGGAAGGAGAAAGAAGAGAGAGAAGGAGAAAGTTTCGAAACAAATTTACCTTTAAAATATCCCGTATAAATTTATATCTATAATCTTGATTCTATCTTATTCTCAATTCCAAAAATTATTTTTATTGTGAATTTTACTTCCAAATTTTCTCGAATCACGATTTAATTAAATTTTTTCGTACTTTAAATCGTATTTTAAATAAATACTCGCTTTTACGAAAATATATCGCTTTAAACAAGAATAAAAAAGAAACGATAATAATTTATGAACAAACAAATTCCTTGTTTAAATTCCTTTGTATCAGATCTTATACTAGAAATAAAAAAAAAAGAAATAATAATTATAATTAGAAATGATAATTGAATATAATTTTTATAAGGAAAACAAAATCTAATTATATATCTATATATTACAAACAATAAATATGAGAAAACAAAAAATATGAGAATTTCTATCAACCTATTTTCTAATCAATTAGCAATTACAATTTGAAACACGATGAGTCTTCTTCTTCGTATATCTCTTTTATCCTTACTTTTAGTCTCCGATGTACAATTATATCTAGATACCTAGATATCTAGTGCAATATGGTTCAAATATTTCCAGATCATTACGTCATACGATGCTTGTCTCTCATCTTTTCAAATGCCTCAATTTAAGGAATATTCCTGATCTGAAACAGAAATTGAATAACTTTTACAATTTTTTCCCCAAAAAAAGTAAGGAAGAATAATCGTCTCTCTCTCTCTCTCTCTCTCTCTCTCTCTCCTCCTTCTCCTAATCGTTCTAAATAAAATAAGTTAGTTGATCGCGTTTTTAAGAACGAGATTCGAGAAAGGAAAAAATTTACGACGGGATATACATATATGTAGAGTCACTCGAGAAAATTTCAATAGCGAATAGCGAAAAGTTTTCTTATAAAATAAATTTTATAGCGATTTATCATCCAAAGATAACCGACTAATTTTTAATTCTAAACGTTTTTTTCGTTATATCGCTTCTAAAAAGCCACTTTTTAAATATTGATCCAAAACAATTTCGATCGATATTTAAGTCCAACTATATAATTACTCGTTTTACGAAATTTCTTATGTTTTAGGAAATGCGAAAGTAGCCAAGTATTTGTTAAAGATCATCACACTCACTGTATAGATACCTGTCGGCCCATTACGATGTGCGGCGAAGTTGTCGTACCCGAAGATCATCTCGACGTAAGAAATTAATTAAAATAACGGTTACTCGATTGTTCTTTCACTCTCGTTGCGTTCGATATATTCGCGTATTCTTCCTGTATATTATAATATATACATGATATATTGAAAATGAGAAATGAACGCGATGCGATGATCAGGTTTGTAGAACGTGTAACGCAACAGGGCATAATTGCGGTATAGCCGAAGGAAGCAAGGCAGGCCCCGGTATAGACGGAGCCGATTTTGTTTTCTACGTATCCGCGATGCAAACCGAAAGATGCCATAAAGGATTAACCGTGGCTTACGCGGCCCATTGCCAACAAGAAGCGGCATTGGACAGGTAATCGCATCGTTTTTTCGTTACAATCTCCAGAGATTCATGTTCCAACGATATTTCGATTCGATATTTTCTAGACCGATTGCTGGTCATGCCAATCTATGCCCGAAAAGCATAAGCACGAAGCCACAAGAGCTCGAAACTTTGCTAAGTACGGTGAAACACGAAATATTACACGCCTTGGGATTTTCCGTCAGTTTGTACGCCTTCTATCGGGATGAAAATGGAGAACCTAGAACTCCGAGAAGAAGCGACACGGGGAAACCATTCTTAAACGAAAAGTAAGCGATCTTGTATCCTTTTGTATCATCATTCAATCTTCATTTTTCGTTTTATTTACTATTATTTTAGATATAACATTTCGTTTACGTCATATCGAATGTACATTATTATACGTTAAAATAATAAAATAATACATTGATCTGATCCGAAATGATTTCGAGTCCGACGAACGAGAATAGCTCGTTCTCGATTCGATAACGTCTCTTCGTCATTGTCGTTTCCTTTTCGCAGATAAATCTTTCCTGCCACTATCGCTTCTATCCGAATCAACGAATCGTAAGGAGCCAAATTCCGGTGTTGTCCAACACTTTATCTCTTTTCTCTCTTTTCGATATTCCTTTTATGTACTATTACGTATACACTTCAATCACGTTCTCCTCTTCCGTCGATAGAGATATCTTCCGGTTTTCACCCTTGTCATATTTCCACCGATTCGTCCGAGAAAAAAAGTAAAAAAACGTTCGTATTTTCTTCTAGTCTCGCGTCCAAATCGCCATCCTTTCATATCGTGTATCGTATCGAATGCTTTTTTCTTATACGTTCAATTTTCGTTATATATACATATAACGTGATATCAGGTTACAAACGCATCAATGGAGTGAAAACACGATTCGAACCGTGGTCAGGCCATATTGGCAAGTGCATGGAGGCTACGTAGAAAGATCGATACAAATGATAGTGACACCGAGAGTTCGTGCCGAAGTTCAAGCTCACTTCAATTGTCCGGAGCTGGAAGGCGCGGAGCTAGAGGATCAGGGGGAAGATGGCACGGCATTGACACATTGGGAAAAACGAGTGTTCGAGGTAAATCGTTACGAATACCGTACGATTCGAACGACCATCCTTGAATCGTTTTATCGAATTCGACCAACGATATTCGCGACGCGTAATTAAACAATTATAACAGTTTTTAAAATATAGCGAATGCATCGCTTTCTTTTTTGTTGTTTTTTTTTTTTCTTTTTTTTTTTTCCCCTTTACCTAAAAATCATTAATCGTATATCATTGGTAAAGAAAATTAAATCAATCGTATCACTGATATTTACATAACGAAATAAATCCGATATCGAATTAAATTTTATCGTAAGTAAAACAAAATTCGAGGAAGAAGAATATCTATTACAAGATAGTTTAATAGATACACACTTAAAAAGAAACGATAAGAAGCACGATGGGGATAGAAATATAACGCCATTACAACGCTTTAAAATAAACAAATTGTTTGTTATATTTTTATTATGCTATTTTGCCCCTTTTTAATACACAATTTAATTATCTATCGTTTCATTAGCTCGAAATGTTTTCATATTTGCGATTAATTTTAAAAATATCGCGCATCGTGACGTACTTACTTCGATATTTTGTAAAATCTAAACGCCACGATCTTTCACCGTTTTAGAACGAAGCAATGACGGGGACACATACTCAAAATCCAGTTTATTCAAGGATAACACTTGCTCTTATGGAAGATACCGGATGGTACAGCGCGAATTACTCGATGGCACAAGAATTAGGATGGGGTAGGAATCTCGGCTGCAATTTTTCGATGAAGTCGTGTAAGGAGTGGATATCTTCAAAATCGTTTCGGTTGTCGTATGTATTCCAAAAAAAGTAATGCAAAAATAGAAAAAATTTTTATCATATTTTAATTTAATAACGTAGATGGATGCGAAACGCATAATTTTATTATATAATAACAATATTTCGTCGAGTCTATAATCTATAATAATAATAATAATAATAAACGCTGCGTTGTAATATAAAAACAACGAGAAAATTGTCGTGAAAACAAAAGTGAAATAGATTATTATATATCTTTAATATCGAAGTTTACTATCGTTTTTCAGGGGAAAGTCTATTCATCCCTTTTGTAACAAAGTGAAACAAGATCCATTACAGACCGAGTGTACCGATGATCGAAGTTCAGTGGCATTGTGTAACTTGATCAAATACTCGCAACCTCTACCTAAGAAATATCAGGTATAAAATTATTACATGTACATACATTCGTAAAATATAATTCTTTGCTCCATTTAAATACAACCATTCGTATTATTTATTTCGTAAATTTCATAAACTATATAGAGAATATTTTCTTTTCTTTTTTTTTACCATTCGTTCGAAATGAATAAATAAAAAATTTATTCATTTGTTATTATTATACACTTTCCGCTTTTTTAGAATATCCATTTATTCTTGTCGATTTTTAATCGTCGATATCACGACGAGCAGTTTCTTATTTTGCTTTAAATGGAAAATCGCTCGTTAAATTTTTGGGCACGTGTAACTCGATAGTCTATATTTATGTCATTTATACGTAAAATATATGCAAAACATAGATAATATAAAAAAAATATGTATTTGCATAAAAACCTAATTATAATATCGATGTTTCGAATCTTAGAACTTTGACTTTATACCTCACGTGCCAGCTGGAGAGGAACAATACTATGGTGGTTCGGTATCTCTAGCGGATTATTGTCCATACATTCAAGAGTTTACGTGGAGAGCTCGAAATATAGTAGTTAGAGGCTCTCATTGTCTCTACGAAGAGAATAATCCTCGTAAGTCTCTTAACGCTTATTAATAACTGTACCATCCAATAATCTATTTCATCCCATGATAAATAGTATTTTTTATTTAAACCAACGACTTTTACTTAATAATAATTCATATCTCTTACTTAGAGAAAGAAACAACTTTGAGTATTCTTTTTTAATACTTTTAATCCAAAGAAATACGCTGATTTCAATTAAACTATTTATTTTTTATTTTTTACATCTTACTTAGTAGTATAATTGGTATAATTTTTATTTCAAAGTAATTTTGTATCAAAGTAAAACGATAACTTGTTAATCGGATTGTTTTCTGTCAACAGATCCGGACAAAAATTTTGCTTTAGAAAAATACGGTCCACATTCGAGATGCTTTGATCATACGAATCAAATGTGGGAAGAAAGAACGTGTAAACAAGCTAGGCAATGGCAACATTGGGGTTCCGGATGTTATCGATATAAATGTGAAGTTGGTAGATTACATATTATAGTCAGTATCAGAAAAACCGTTTTACAATCTTCTTTATTATTAACACGTTTATAATTCGTTTTCGTTTTCTTTAGCATAATCTATCGTATAAATTTCGATATATCTGATTTTTTTAGGTCGCAAATTACACGTACACGTGTTATCATGCTGGCCAAGAAATTGCAATCAGAATAATACAAAATGACTGGCTTCATAAAGGAGCTCTAATTTGCCCTCCATGTAGAGACATTTGTCAGGTAAGAACGAATATATTATTTGATGCAATTTAATTTACAAATATATCACGATAATATAAATTAATAAAATTTATAAAAATATCTTCCATAACGAAGATTGCATTGACAAAATAAAATTGAGAAATAAAATAAATACACGAGAAAAAGAATCTCGTCTTCCAATGCGTCTTACACACTCGTGCCACGTGTGTAATAGTCTAAATTCTTAGTTCGTTTCATTGTTATTTATTTTTCTGTTACAGGCGGAATTAAAAGAGAAACACGAATATTGCAAGCCGGGAGATGAACATCCACCGTCAACGTATTATCACAGAGACAATTTATATTGTGCATCCGCGGCAAAATTTACAAATTTATCCTTACCATTCCTTACTTTAATTTATTTCTTTGTTTTTAGATGATATGTCGTGGAACCTAGGTAATATTTTCATCGATATTAAAACTAGTTGACAAATTGTAATAACGCATCGTTGAAACGTTGTTTCTGAATTCGCATTTTTGAATTACGATACGTATGTAAATATTAGCGTAATGGCTCATGGAAATATCTTTGAAACCACGTACGTGAGACGTTTCGCGATATGATTCGTATCTGAACCGAGGTGACAATTCTATTTTCACCATTTATCGTGTAAAAAGTATTTTCTTAACAATTTTATATATCAGCAAAATATATAAAAATACGCAAAATACGAGTTTAAAGATAAACTCGTTTAAACTCATATTTTATATTTTCCATTTTATTTTTGTTAAAGTCTCTGGAAAAAGAGACAGGCAATACATCCTATTTACCATGGTTAATGTTCGGTCCCCTGTTCGTACTCGTAACGTTAAAAAGACTACAATCTCGCTCGTTTATAAAATGGCGATAATATCTAGTTCCCGTAAATCGTATTCTGGTGTGTATCTGTATTCACAATAGATACGCTCAAGACCGATATTCTCTCGATACTGACGGCCGTCTTGATCATCGCGTCTGCCTACTTTGTCGATTGCCTCGTTACCCCTCTCCCCCCTCCCCTCCCCCTCCCCCTCCCTTCCGTCAACAATGTACTCAATCCCATCTCCACTACCGTTAGCAAATAGTTCATTTTTCGGTTCACTGGCTTTCTCCAATCTTACCTCCTTCTGAGTTGTGCATTTCATGTATTTCCTTCCGAACCAGAGTTTTCAATCCATTAACCACTGCTTCGGATGACCACTGTGACGACATTGTCTATTGACTTGTCCGATATCTACTCGTAAAACGCGATCTATTTCTTTTCTTCCACTTTCTTTTTTTTTATTGTTGAGAGGAGAGGTTGAAATAATTATGCACTTCCATCTATTCCAATGGGAGATTCACCAAGACTTAAACCAAATTCGATATATTCGCTAAAAAATTCCTTCTCATACGCCTCCCTTAAATCGCGAAAATTTTTATTATCTCGGAAATAATTATAAATTAATTAATTTCTCAGATCTAAGCAATCGATAGTTTCATTATTAGTTTTATTATTTAAAGTTTTATTATTATGTCATTAAAAGAGAATAAATTAATTAATAGATCCAGGTTTTTATTGATAATATCGTATTTGAATAATCTTCTCCAATATCTCCTCTTTCGATTCGTCATTCGATGTAATAAAAAAATCTATTATACAAATTTCAATCGTTATTCGATTCTCTTTCCGCTTTGTTATCAACTCGGAAGAATATTGAATATATATATCTCGATATTACCTGTGTTTCTATATCATTCTATCGATGCATATCGTCGCATGTCACTTCCATGTTTATAGCTATGTTTATCTCGAATCAGTTGATATTTCCTTTAAGGAAATAGGTTGCCGTGTATATAGAAAAAGCTTCCCTCGATGAGCCGTTACTGTTTGCGTTAATATCCGCTCGATCGTTGTCTCGACGTCATATTTGCGTTTATCGGCAAATTACCGCGATCGATCGTCATCGGCGAAAATATTTTCCCTTTTCTTCCTCCAGGTAATGCAAGTAATAATACAGTTAATCGTTACAACAAAAATAAATACGAATGTTCACTAATTTTTCGGTTCGGTGGAACATCTTCCTCGCTCTCGTCTTCGATTCCACGTATCGCAATGTTCGCCGTTCTATTCTATCGTTAGAATAGATTTTTCTCTCTCTAGTATCCAGGATTTTCATTTCTTTCGCAAACATTTATCATCATAGGCAGAATTATCCCTTTACTCGGTTAGAAGATATCTTTCATCTAGATATTTCCACATCCAGCAGAGTATGCTACTATTCCATAACATATCTACGCCTATTTCTTATTTTTAGGCCTATTCATAAGTTTCACCCTTTTCACGACTCATTTTGGATATCGTCGGGATAGTTCCTATCCTCTTACTCGATATTACAACGCGTGATCTCGATGCATTCCCCTTAGCCTCCTGTTCCACGGTTCTCCCCTTGGGAGGTATAGGCCTCTATTCTCCGGTACCAATGTAAATACATTAATCTCCATCGCCCATTTTGTCGGCTCGTGTCTGTTCAACGAACATTATACCTCGTTATAAAATTTCATAGCACCAGCCGATCATATTGGATACGACTGCCATAATTTGTATATAGTCGATGAATCCATCTATTAAAGAAAGATACAAAGAGTACAGCAGGGTTAAATACGCTTCGTACTATTATCTGATACATTTAAGAGGAAAAAAGGGGGCTCGCATATGTCTTTTACTTTTAAAATATAAGACGACAATGTATTAGAGGCGAAGACAAAAATATAACATATGATACAACGGAATATCTATACGATTTTAATAATGATTATAATGATATTTCAATGATATTTTAAAATATATATACACGTATATTGTGTAGTTCTTTTTTTCTATCGTAAAAATTAAATATTAAAATTCTTTTAAAAATCAAATTTGCAAATGTAATTTTTTTAAATTTATTTTATATGTTCTCGGATAAATATACGATAAAATGGATCATCCTGCATATATAATAGTACATAATTACGTATAATAATTATGCCGCCTATTTTATTATTATCTTTTATAAATATTGCTTTTTTTTTATATTCAATTTTTTTTCTAGTTATATAAGAATCTTGCTTTACGAATTAATCATTTTTATTGTTGATTAATAGTGAACCGCGACGAATCGTTATATTAGAAAATATATATCAAAATATGTATACAAGTGCCAATATTATCTATTTTTTGTTTAAATAACAATTTTAGTTATCGATTAAATACGTATAACGTTTTACGATATCCTTATTCATCTATCATTTGAAAATTCTTACAACAAATATACGTATACGTATTCTAAGTAATTCTTATTGATATATTTCAAATATTTCAAGTATATATTTATTTCTACGTATAAAAAATACGTATAAAGAAAAAAAGATATACGAAATTTCAAAGATCGCATGATATTGTAGTCATAATTTTCTTATAAATGTTAAATTATGTTAAATTTTTAAATATTTTTCTTTTCCTTTTCCTTTTTAAAAATAAGACGATTGTTATTTGACTATAATATTCGATATTCGATAAAACGAAGAAAGATTTCAAATATAGATTTTTTTAATAAGAAATAGTTAATCCGCATAGCGAAATTTCAAAATTTATTACGATATATTTTTTTTATTTCAAAAAATGAATAAGGATTAAATGATTAAAACAATTTTTCGTTGTCACCTCGGAAATATTTTCATTTATAAATATAAAAACATTGGATTATTAACGGATATTATAAAATTATAAAATTGTATGTAGTTCGATCATTGATATCGAACATTTATATTTATTGTTTATTTCTTAAAAACAAACGCATTTGCTTCACGAAGAATTGTGCGACGGAATAAGAAAGAATTAATTTTTCTACGAGATTAATGAGATATAACGTGAATTTGCTTTTATAACTCAATTTTAATAGATTACGATATCATATCTATAAAAAAATATAAGAATATTATAAGAAATCGGCAAAAAATGGGAACATCTTGGAATAGAAGTGGAATTGTTTTAAAAGTGCGTGTAACACGAGTGTGGATCAAAGTATGGATGACAAGTGATATTTCTTGGAAATAAATATCAGAGAATAAAATGTAAATATTTTACGAAATAATAATAATAAGTAAGACAATGTAGAAAATTTTTATGAACGTAAGAAAAACGTATTACGTATTTCACGCGTGATGTAATTTCTATTATCGCTCGTGTAAATGAAATAATTATGTGAAATTTTTCTTTTTTTTTTTTTTTGTTTTTTTTTTTCATTTTTTTTCATTTGTACGCAAAATATAAACATTTTGTACACACAACTTTTTAACATTCCATTAGGTACAAAATTTCAAAAATTCAAAATTATATAATTATCAATGTAAAATATGAAATAATTAATAATGAAAGATTTAAAAGATCAAAGTGATTTGTAAGTATAAGAATATAATGTTTAAATCGCGTTAAGAATCCTTAGTAGTTTAAGAAATCTAATAATATGTTAATATCTCAAAAATTAAGGCCGAGGCGGTGTATATGCGGATAGAAAATGTAATTTAAAATTTTGAATTCGACACCATTTCATCGAAATCGATCAAAAGTTCCCTAATCAGCAAAATGTAATCGTAAAAAATATATACGAATATAAAAAATTATATTTTTAACTATAGAAAAACTTTTTCGTTCTTTTACCGGCATTTGCGAATTCAAACTATTTATCCGATTCGGTCTAAATGTCAATGGACGATATAGAATTTTTGTCATCGCAGAAAATTAAATTAAAAATCCATTATTGCATTTAAATTGGATATAATTCCAGATGATAAAGCTTTATTTGACACAACGTAATAAAATGCCATTTATTATTATAAGTGATGAAATCTTCTCTTCGTATAACGATACCTATATTTTAATACCGTAATATTAATTACCGTTCTCAGGATCTAATCTTTTCAACGCAATTTAAGCAAATTTTCAATTATATTACTATCGATTGTTATTACGTTTAATTAATTAAGAATATATTCGTGGAGAATACATTTGATACGTTATCATTAAAAATTTAAAATTAAATATTTTTATCGAACTTGTTATACTATCCATATTTGCGTATTTATAGATAGCTATTGTACAATTATTTGTACGATAATGTTTTCAAATATTCTTATAGAAAAAACGATATATGGATACGTAAAACATGGATTAAAATAACATTCCGAGAAAAAAGAAATTTATAAAAAATTTTTATATTTATCGTGCGAAATTTTAATTGTTAAATATTTTCTTTCGCTTCTTACAAAGAAAAAAATATGACAAAATAATATATAAATTTGTAGAATTTAGATCAATAGTAATGTATATCGTTATGTACAATAATATCGATTAATTAATTTATTTAACAATTTGATAATTTTATATCAAATTACAATAATTTAATAATAAAATAATAATAAATTATAATATTATTAGTTAAAAATAACAACCACAGCGTAGAAATTTTGTCGAAACTTTTTGACAGCCGCTAAAAATAAGAAATTTCAAAGTCTATTCGATATGCTAGAAAATTTCTAAAGAAAATCGTATATCGATTAAACGGAAATAGCTGTCAATCGTTCCTGACATTCGTTGCCGCTGTGAACACGTGCCGATATAAAAATAAATCTATCCATCTATTATATTGTATAAATCGTTTTGTAAATTGTATAAACTTATTCTTGTAAATAAATGATATTGTACAAAATGTAAAGAGAAGCCTCTTCTCATCACCACGTTACATCAATTGAAAATTTAAAAGTTAAACATCGGATAATATCGTGTAATAAAGTTTCTTTTTAACATTGAACATTAAGAAGAGCCTATGTTTATAATTATTCGATTCTTTCAATTATTTGGAAAAGAACGTCGAATATGTTCTATATCGTTATAATAAATGAATATTCGATAACTTTCACTAAACGGAAGAGCGAAAGGAGAGGGGGGAGGGGAGGGCGAGCAACATATTATAATAAAAAATATAAGAATTGTAATCGAATAACGAACAAAATTTGCAATCATATTTTTTTCACTTCATACATTTTTTTTATTCTTAATAAGAATTAGAATATACCTATAGGATACAACATCACTAACTTTATCTAACACCATTATATAGTTTGTATATTTATATATTATATTTCAAATAACGAACAAAAATATTATTTACGAGAATTGTGTATGTATATTTCTCCAAATTAACATTGTAATGAATATTGTAAAGTTCTATAATTAATTTTATATTATTTCTGATGGGTATAGAAGATGCGAATATTTAATTTTATAAAAAGTTAAAATTAGTTGTGAATAACGAAGCGTAAATAATCTGAAGTATATCGAAAAGTTTTTCTAATCAATGTACATGTATTGGAAATTTATATACAAAAATTTAAATTCTTCTAAAAACTTGGTAAATTAATTATATTTATTTATTTTATATATATATATATATATATAAAATATCGATACACAAAAAATATTCCAATTAAAACAATTATTTTAATATAAAATAAGGAATAAAATTCGTAATTATTTTTACTTTGATTATTTATGCATTTCATCTAAATTCTTCGTTTAATATTTTATTTCTAATTTTTCTAATTATATAAGTATCCCAAGTATCTAAAATTGATACGCGTTGTCTTATTCGATACAAAAATGATTTGTACCCTATTCGATAGGGAATAGTTATCTGTGTTCGAGGCAATGATAAATATTTCGTTTCATCGTTACGAAGGAGCTTTCACGTTGTTGTTGGTGAGCCAACAGGCAGTGTTTCGCTCTTATCGATTCTCAACAATTCGATCTTAATTTTACTAATATATATTCTAATATTGTAAAAGATTAATATAGATCATATGTTTTTTTCTTCTTTTTTCTCTTCTTCTTCTTCTTCTTCTTTTTCTTTTTCTTCATCTCTTTCTCCTTTGTCTTACAATGTATAGTTAATTTTATATTTTGTTCCATAAGAAAATTATAATATTTGCAATTAAACACAATTAACTATTACATTTTTTTCCTTATTATACAATAATAATTTAACGAATAATATGGGAATTATATCGCATAGATATAAATATTGTAATCGTAGAATTTAAAAAAAAAATAATAAAACGACAAATAATAAAACGTTGAATATCGAACTAAGATATGTACAAAATTATTTACAATAAGTTATATAATTATATTTAACAATATATGTGTATGTATATGAAAAATATTATTTAAAAAGTAAAATTCAATTCAAAATTTTTACGAAAATTTGTTGATTTCATATCGTACAATTTACAACGTTCGTATCTATCGTCACAATGTCTTCCAGCATTACATTTAATAAAAACCATACATATGTACATTACGTTAATGTAATATATTATATATATAAATATGTATAACTCAATGTAATATTATAAATAATTTAAAAATTGAAAAAAATATAGCTAAGGTTTATACGATTGGCATAATATTGTATAACGCGTTAAAATCGTATAATTATACAATATATAATAGTTAAGATTATATATTTTTTCCACTATTTTATTACATGTATCATTTTTAAACTCTATCTATATTTATAATTATTTCTATAAACACACGAAACATTTTATAATAAAAATATTTGCAAAAAATTAATATATTCAAAACCGACATATTGATTAATTTTTTAATACAACGAAAGTAAATTGAAAACATTCGTATATTAAAAATCAAGAGAGATATAAAAAATTCTTTCTACATTTCTAGTTTCAAGACAATGATCCAAGAAAACGATAAATTTTTACATTTTTTTTATTTTTTTATTTTTAAAGAATATCTTGTTTTTCTCGCATTAAAAAAGATTAAAATAATTATAAATTATTTTAACGATAACAAAACGGAACTTAATTATTTCTTATTCGGAATTATTTATTAAACAAATTAAACAAAACTGATTCAACATTATCCAGATTATCCAATATCATAGACTGAATATATTGGATATCGGTATATGCATATATATATGTATTGTATATTATTCGAATTCGTATATATATATTACGAAACTATATATTCCAACTATTCCAACTATATATTCGAATATAACATTACATCAACTTTTCTTTTTTTTTAATTATGATGCATATGTAAATCAAATCATTTTATTATCAATTATTCGATCGTTTCTTTTAATTTTAATTTCTTTTCCATTATTATAAATTATATTTATGTTATGTTAATGTTATATTTATGTTAAATAACGTTGTTGAATTCGTATATTCAATATACGGTTGTTTACATTTAGGAATTTTTCATATGAAGAAACGTCATATGAATAACAATTTTTCAAACTTATATAACTATAACAGTCCCTGAATCATTTATTTTGTATGATATAACAATCCTTATAAATAATAAAAATCCTTATTCGTATTTGCAATTTTTCAAATTTTTAACTCTTTTTCTCATTTTTAACTTTCTCTATTTTTATACCTTTTGAAACCATGATCTATTTACAAATGATTATATTATAAAATATTATACACGCTTTACTAATTTGCGTTACGTGAGATTTAATTTCTTTGTAAATAACTCAATCATAATTGAAACAAAAGGAATACAAAACAAATTACATTTAAAACAGTACGATTATTTTTTAATTATTAAATTAATAATTTCTTAAATTTAGAAAGTTCAGGATGTAACGTACATTCGTAATATCGAAAATGTATCTACAACCGTACTTTATTTTAACGATTTTCTATAAATCGATTCATAAATGATGTTTGTTAGTTTATTATTTAAACGACAATTGAAAATAATGTTTATTTTAAACATATTAAAAGTTTTAACATTATTAATTTATTTCTTTTTTTTTATTATATTCATAATTGTATATAAAAAATAATACCTATATTCACAGCATTTTACATAGTAAAAAATATATGTATATCTCAACATATTCGAAAAAACCGTTGCATCGTGTTCATAGACAATGATTTAACATTGGCTTCTCCGAAATGTTAAAAATCAATGAAAAATACCTAAAGTTCAAAATTCTCGATTTATAATCTTTGCTATTTTTTCTTTTTTTTTTTTTTCCTTTTTTTTTATTTCAACCATAGAACATGATACATAATAATAATCTACTATTATAGATACAATATTCGATAAATAAATTTATTATTGCAATGTAATTGTATATAAGTAATATAATGATCATTGGAAAGCATAATATTTTTTTTTTCTTAAAAATGCTAAATATTATTATATATTTTACAGTTTCTCAAACATTTTTTTCCTTTATTAAATATTTTCATTTTGCTATAAATTAACGAATATATACGCGTATGCACGTATATAAGTGTGTGTAAATAATTAGATATAACTAATATATATAATTTTACGTTATATGTATAAACTATTCCTTTATATTATATTATACCAAAGTTACTAATATTTTATTTTTCACAGTAATTAATACGTTATTAAAAAATGAAATCTTTGTCGCATTTATAATCGCGTTTTACATATATAATTTTATTCAAGCATATAACGCGAGAATGAATAACATATTTGATTGGAAAAATAAATGATTTTTCTAATTCTTATAAACTTTTAACCTAATTCATCGGTCAGCTTAATTCAACGCGCGCGCGTCTATGTGTGTATGTAAGTTAAAACGAGCTCTTTTATCAATAAATACTAAATATAAAAAGATAAAAAAGTGCAATATTAACGTTATATATTAACATTAAACGTTTGATATTAAATATAAATGAAATTTTAACATAAATCGATAATTAATCGATAATAATTCAATTTCAATTTCAGTTTCCAAATCTAATAATATTTCTTAAAACAATTCCTTCATTGCGTTATCAATCATAACAGTCATTCCGTTCGAAGGGAAAAAAAATTATTATAATTAAATTTATAATTAAACACGATAAAAATAATATCTATTTAACATCTATATTGCAATTTCTTAAATATTATTTTATACGTATAATTTGTGCGGTTATTATAAACGTGTATTGGCAAGATATTATAAGATAATGAACGCAATGAATTTTCAATGAATTCGATAATTAAAAATATTACGTAAATTAGCGATATATAGCGACATATACCGTTATTAACGATATATAATAAGAATTCTTTATCTTTCCTTTTCCCATTACGTTCGAAATCATGAAAAGAAAGATAAAAAAAAAAAAAAAATTGATGTAAAATAATTTTACATAATAGTACTTATATATACTTTCTTTTAGATTTATTATTATATTTTATATTTGAATGCCATAAACATATATATATCTATATTCTAGTTCAAATTAGTGAAAAATTATGTTTAATTTTCAAGATAATATTTTTTCCGTTTTTTTCGGTCGAATGTGCTTCATCTATAATAAAAAATACTTTGAACTTTTGATTAGTACAAAATCGTAATGTCCATTATACGAATTTGATTCTTGATCGCAAATTACAGCACAATATATTTTCTTCGGCAACATTTGAGATTATTACGTCAATTAAATTCAAGATCTCGAATTAAATCCGGCACGCTTTTGAAACACGTATTTTCCAGATAGAAACGGCGATCGCGTCGGATTTGTGCACTTTCTTCGTACAAAGAATATTCTATTATCGACAAAGACGAATTATTTGAAAAAGATCGAGGATGCGATGATCGCTCCGTTCCAAGATTACGAGTCACGGAATGGTGTTCTGCCGCCACGCTATACTAACTAGCATGCGTTGGAGATTCAATGTCCTCCGTTTGCGTGACGGCATCCCTAACTGAAATCATCAAATAATTATTAATAAGTCCATCAAATAAATGGAACGTGATATTTCGATAACGATAATTTTAACATCTAGAAACGAAAGATATAATAGAAAAATTTTATTTTTTTATAATATAAAGACGATGGGAAGGATACATATATTTGCGTTGACAAAAAAATTATCAAATCGTAACGAATAAATATATTCGCGTTGATCGTTAGATTTACCGTTATACTATACTATTTTATTTTCCGCAAAATATCACACAATATGTAAATATAAAATGTACCACCTCACGTTGGCGTAGCATCGTTATGTAGGACATGTCCGGTTTCCCAAGGAAGTGGTGGTGGTGTATTGGCTAACGAAGAAGAGGAACATCGAGCCATTGAAAAACGGTCTATTGAGCAACGCTCTAAACCTGGAACGCGATATGTTTGTATTATTATGCGATACATCGATCTTTAAAAGACAAACCAAATTGACGAATCGCAATTACAAGTCCTCGAAAATAGAAAATCAATTTATAAATTGTAACGAGATGAAAACAAGTTTTATCCTCTCATCATGACTCGTAAGTAGAAATCACGCTTCGCCCGTAAATGTTTTGTTTATCGGGATCCCGGTTAAAAAAAAAAAGAGATGAGAGATCTTCGAGGAGAGAAAAGAATCATTTTACCGAATACAAGTATATAAACAAGTATATAGCGAATTTTTTCTTTTTCAGAACAAAACCATACTATTATGAACTTTATAAATTTTTTTAAATTGTATTTTTACACAATTTTTTTGTTTTTTCATTGGTAATAATATATAGATAATAAATAATATAAATATAACGTTATATATATTAAGAACTACATAATATAGTCTTTATTCGCTTCAATTATTTCAATTATATTAAGCGGAGAAAGTGGAAAGTAGATATTAACGTATTTTTTATGATTTTTCAAAAAAATTCACTTCAATTATTGAGACAATTAATCGATAAATATATTGCAGCGATTTGGTTTAAAACCAAAATGGTTTTATTTAATTTAACGGATAAATTAATATCATCACATTATAATATTCAATCATAACGATCCGCAAATGGAAGAATAAAATATAAAAAACAATCCTTGAACGAGTTTACAAATTACAATAAAATTACAATGATACGATTATGATAAAATTTGTAAATATCGATATATCATTCTTAGTGAAAAAAAATTCTCGTATTTTGGAGTGCGAATTTGGAAATAGTTTGAAGTAGATATTACACACCTGATAAATCGACTCCTGCCATGTTACAAACATCAAGACCACCTGTGCTAGTGGCGCAACAATGTTGTTTCGGTCCCAAAGGTTTCGGCCTACAAAGTACCTGAAAAATTGCAAATACAAAATTTCACGCTATGAAATTTTTATCGCGCGAAAATTTACCGTTTCGTTCCACGAATATTCCACAAAATTCGTATGTACTTTTGCATAAATATCGCTTAATCGCGTCGTATTCGTATCATAGAATTATCGACTTGTTTAATTTGTTAGAGAAACGTTATCCCCAAATTTCATTTTTAAAATAATTAGGTAGGATAAAAAAAGTTAAGAAAAGAGTAGGTAGTGTAGTTGAAAGATATATATAATAGGGATTAGCCTTCGATAACCATAAATGGTCAATATCCGTAAACTTTTGGTACATACGGTAAGCAAAAATCATTTTATTCGCGAATAAAGCTTGAACAGCACTGTCTTGAATAGCCGATATTACTTCTAATACTTCTAAAACTTGGATTATTCGAATTCGTTGAAAATCACGATTTCGAGAAAAGATCTTCGAAATCTTTCTGTTCTCTTACTCGTATTATACCTATTCCTTTTAAAAATCTTTTAAAAATTACGGGATTAACGTATTAATATTTCACGCATCTTGCACGAAAGCAACTTATTATTACATCTTTAGACACCCGGTTTACATAGAATTAAATCGATACCTAATGCGTATGCGTACAAGCTACGACAAACGACATAAAAATCAACAGAGATAACGGGATAAGTTCGATGTATTTATGTTTGCACGAATGTATCATTCTTCCATCGAACGAAATCAATAATTAGCGATAAATCCATCAATTATGTCAATTTTTATCAAAATTGCATCGATTATATTATCGATTATATTATATTATTATGCAAAGTTACATGTGATTAAAACTATATATAAAAGCGATACGATATACGAGAAATGTAAATGAAAGTATATCGAATATCATCTTGCAACATGTTGGCTGGTTATATAAAATAATAATAGCGATTTTTTCATTGTTATATTATTTAAGATACGAACGACAAAAAGAAAAGAAAATTATCGTTTGTTTGTAACGCAATTACCTTAGTGTAGAGAAGTTCTCTCGAAATACGACGAAAGTGATTGTTGAGCAGCCAATAGAGGAACGGATTCCAAAAGCTGTTGGAAAGCGCAAGCCACGTGGCGAGGAAGTCGAGGAATGGTGGTGGTTTGCTTCCGGTACAAGCTGCAACGACTTCCTGAATCGTCCATGGCGTGACCATAACAATGAATCCTAAACTCATCGCAGCCATTGTTCGAGAAGCAGAAGTTGACAATCGTCTCTCGTGAGCTACAAGCTGCAAATAAATACACTACGTGTATATAGTGTATATGATCAATTCATCGAATATCTTTTAATAGTAACGTTTATATTATCATACGTTTATATATTTTTAACGATAATAATAAATTTCAAAGACTCTTTGAATCTATGATCTCAAAGATCAGTGAAAAAAAGAAGAGTCGAAGGTAATACGAAACATATATAATAAGAGGACCTTAACGTCTAAAAGATAGGATGTCTAATCTTTTAGACCGGCTTGACACCGTTACGAAAGTCGCTAAGCTCGTCACCGTCAAAGTCTCTCATCGCGCGCCAGTAAAAGGATTACGAATCTGCTCGTTTAGATAAATCCTTCCTCCGTCTTATACTTTTTCGCATCTTTATCGTTATCCTTATCCTTATCCTTATACATCTATTCTTCTCGCATTCTCGTATTTACTTTTCGTTTATCGATCTCGAATCATTACTATTTGCCTATCTATCGATCTCGCTTCTCTATTACAATTATCACGTTACAATGATGAATAGGTATATAGCTATTCTTCTCTCTCTCTCTCTCTCTCTCTGTTTCTCTCTAATTATAATTATACGCTTTAAAAAAAAAAAAAAAGAAAACTAATTTTCTCGAAAAATGGATGACTACGAGCAACGAACATAAAACTTTTAAGATTCGATTACGCGAACCGTTATAAATTTGAAATTGAATTTCATCTAGAACGCGGTTCATTCGCAACTCGGTCGTTATCGTTAAAAACGATCGAAATACATTTATCTATCGATGTAAAATAATGTTCAACGTTTAGTTGGAAATATATATATATATATATATAGGATGGTTTATAAAATGACGCATTTCTTAAATTTCTATCTCTAATCTCGAGATAGAGATAAATGAAAAGCAAAAAGAATGGAAGCTGTACGCTAATGAGCGAGAAACGAAACGAAGGGTAAAAAACGAAAGGAAGACGATCTTCCTGCAGAAGAACGCCCACGAATTGAATGTACGGGCTCGATTCCATTTGATTCCTCATCGGGCTCGTTCCAGCTCGTTATCTCACAATAGGCGGGAGAAAGATGAGGTGAAAAGCGGAAATAATAAGAGGAAGAAATTGAACGGAACGATCGTGTTCTTCGCTTGTTCGCCAGCCGTACGATATTTCAATGAATTTTCAATCGATGATGAAACGTAATATCTCATTTATGGATCATTAATCGCTACATAGCGTCATTATCCACCGTTATTACCGCCACTATAGTTTGACAAAATATTTTATCAAACGCGTTGCAAACTTGGGAAAATTTGAAATATCGCGTATCGATGTATCGACAAATCGTAGGATAATTGATGGTATTTCGAATTTTAATAATTTTTATCGAAACGACAACGAAAGTTCCTTTTTTGTCCCTCTTATCCCCAACTACGGGCATAGCAAGCTTGCTCCCTTTTCCATGCATCTTACACACATCGGCACGACCGTGGTCTCGAGAACGCCTTTGGAAGACATTCCCAACATCCATTGACCTACATCGAAGCTATGGGTCGTAAAAGGAAGAAAGACAGAACGATCGAGAAGAAGGCAAGAAAAGATAGATTTTCGTATAAATAAGTTGTTCGGAACGTATTCCATTAAACCAAGTCATACGCACGTTCAAATTTTCTTTGAAGAAAACTTTTTTTCGACGAAATCTCGTGCGATATCGCGATATCTTTATTTCGAGTAATTAATTTAAATATCGTATATGTGAAAATAATTCGGAATATACGTAATTATTTTATTCAAACTATTTAAAACCGACTATTTAAAATATCGGATCGTTGATCTCTTGCGTCGAATACATATACACGCACCAACTATTTACTTACACAATATTAATTTTCGAAATAGAATTTATAGAGGATATTGATATTAAACGCACATCGACTCGATTCAAGAATAAAAAAATATGGAACGATGTCTTTTCACCCATCATTTTTCAATTATAAGTCATTTCATTTTTTACTGACCAATATCTATACGTATACGAATACGTAAATAAATCTGTTTGTCGCATCGCAAAAACGTACGTAAATTTCGAGAAGTTTTCGATGTAATTAGAAAGCGCACGCGTATAGAAAATTCGAAGTTCATATAATTTAGATATTTACAATTAATTCAACTTTGAATTTTCGTAAATATACTTTTAATATAAGAAGCAACAATGAATGATAATTTTGTATTAAAATCTTTATTCAACCGTGCTTGAACATTATTATAATATCGTTATCCGTCCAAACTTTTTTATCTTTCTTATTTGGTGCGCAGTAATATAAAAATTTTTGATTCTTCGAAGCAAACTAATCAATTTTCATATCATGTTTGACATACGAGATAATGGTATGTTCATATCGATATACGATACATTTTTATGTATTTTCAAATTGTACGAAATTATTGTATCATAGATATCGTAGATATATTTATTATTTTCTAATTTTTCGAAGCATCTTGTGCGTGAATTTGTCGTATTATTACTTATATAGAAATAAAAATTCGAAAAATAGCGAGTATTTTACTTTGACGTAGTAAAAATGAAAAATATTATATTGTTTTTCCGACGTAATAGTTTCGGAAAAATAATTAGTATCGAGGACACGAGGAAAGAAGTTGATGATCGGGCGAAAATTTATGAATATCTATCGTGATTACCTTCTTTCTCGCGTACACGCTCTTTTAAAAGTTCTGTATTCACCGAGGCTTCGAGACATCGAAGTAAACTAGGCTAAGTACGCGACACCGCTAGAGCTTGGAATTATTGGAAAACTAAAGCGAATTCAGTTCAATGAGTGAAAATTTGTTCGCAACTTCAAATGTCACCTTCATCGATGTGTCTCGAATCAAATTGTTACGAGCGGTCCGTTATCACACAGTGTGATTATTACCACGAATTACGTATCGTAATCGAATTACGTCGAGATCAATAAATTTGTATCTTTTCGATCAAATTTCTTCTTATGAAGTTATTTTAATCAAATTACAAGCTAAATGTATTTAACCAAATCCTTGGCAACTCTTCTCAACAGCTGAAATCCCTAATTCAAACGTAGCGACAAATTAAGCTAAGTGACGACAGTAAGTCGTAAGCTTAAGTTGAAAAGTCTTGACAAGTCGCGATCATAGGAATATTGTTGTTGAATTTTGCTCTCTGTTTAAAATTTCGTTCGAAAACGAGAATTGTAAGTAATTGTAGGATTTCAATTAATCGAGCATAAATTTAAAAAAGAATTAAAAAATTTTGCGTAAGCTTTTAATTCCCATAATTAAAATTATTCGATTCATTTTTCGTTTCGAATTCGTTTCGAAAATATTTATCAAGAATTTATCCCTTTTTCCATTCCATTCTCGTCTTTTCCCGTTTACAGTAAAGTTAAATGAAAATGATATTTGGGTAACGTTATTTCGAATCGGATAAGCACGCATTAATAACGGACCAATAAATATAGGTTAATCGTTGCAATACCTTAAACGAAGCTACAACGTATCGACTATTGGAGAACGGTATATACGTATATCTGCTAATAAGTAATATTTCTTAAAAATATTTATATAATATACAGATTATCCGAAATTATTAAGCGAAAAATGTTGTATAAACGAATAAAAATGTGAAATGATTTCACAAGACGAACACATTCCGATCATCGCAGTTGCAATTCGAAGAAATTAAAATTTAATTCGATCGAGCATTCAACGATTCGATCGATGATCGAGAAAAACTATCACTGTTTTGTTATCGGACGAGTTTCTTGTTAAATCGAGTCTATCGATTGCCAGTTGAAGTGGCAGCAAACTTGACTTACCCTCTCCATATGGCCTCCGCTAACGACCTCCGGTGTATTAACGCAAACCACCCTTTTTAAGCGCAGTTTGTTAACGTGAAAGGCTGAACCATAGCAATACATCAGCACCATCGTCGTAGGAAAATAAAAACAACAACACGCGAGAATTCTGAAAAAAGAAAAAAAAAAAGAGAACAGATAATAATTGATAATAATAATAAATTTGTCTTTTTACATATACAAATATCGAATGTACTCGAATCGAAAATGTATACGATAGAAATTTATAATTGGCCGATTCGACAAATATCTCGATTACGATGCTTTGAGAGGAAAATATTCAAATTGAACGAATGAACATTAATAGAGATAAATATAAATACTTGGAAAAAGAAGAACACATATTGATAAAAATATATACGATATATTACTCGATACACGAATAAAATGATATCCTTAGTTGTTCGTATCGTATCGTATCGTTGAATACAATTTATAAACTTTCTTGAATTATTTATTACCGAATTATCAATTCTTTGGTGATATTGCGATAAATCGATCGAATTACAAAAAGATACGAAATTTTTTATGCTCGAAAATTTGTCTAAAATCGTGTCTCGTTTATACACGTTATACACGATTTCGATATAATACTTCTCTTTTCTTATTTTATTTTCTCTCCCTTTCTTACACATATCACACATCTCTCGTCTCGAAAACAAGAGACAAGTTTTCGATATGTCGTATCGAAATTACATTTTTATGTTTCGATAGATGGTAATATCCTAAGAATATATCGATATCGTTATAATTAACGAAACTGGCTAATCTAGTAACGTTATAGGATGTAAAATATATGGCGAAACGAGTTACCTGAGGGAAGCCCTGGCAAAAAAAGGATCACAGGCGAGAAGACCGGAATCGTTGAAGTAATAACCTCCTCTTGGAAGCACGAGAGCACCGAAAATTGCCACGCTCGCTATCCAAGTAGTCGACATCACTGCCACGCAACCCTGCCGCATGTAATACTGCGTCACATACACAGAAAATAATCATTCTTCTTTTGTCTTTAAGCGTACAATGCGAGGCTGGACGAGCGACACGGTACGCGATTGCGACTAGTCATCCAAATACATATATTATAAACTTATTCCAATTGTCGCGTATTTGTTCAAAATAATGCGTCGCTCGTCTATCTAGTTGTCTATTTAATTTAAACATGTATAGCGGTATGTATCACGTATACTGATTAAACGTTTCAATCTTGAGCATTTCAAAAAGAGCATTAAAAAAAAAAAAAGAAATATATTGATTAATATATAAAAACGCGTTACTTTTAATTTTAGATAATCCCGCGTATTTTATACTTTGAACGATCGAAAGAAAGATCGAATATAAACATCTTGGTAAGTTATAATATAAATATAGTACATATGTATATGTATTATCATTAAACAGATTCGTTAAAACTAATGTTTCATTCGATTTAGTTCGATTAAAGTACATATTTTATGTACATATCATTTGTACAAATTTGTCGCTTCAAGTACTATTGTCGATTTATACTCCTGTATAAAGTGATACCACGTGTCAAAGTCGATGCATCGTTCGATATCGATCCATTTTCAAAAGTATTGTATTACCGATAGCCGGAATTATAAGCGCACAATTTTGAACATTGTCGATACTCGTAAGAAAATATATCGCGATCTAATATTCGGGATGTCGACATCTTGCGTGGTCTCTTCATACGTGGAAAACGATTCTCTAGAATTTTCTAGAAGAATTTAACTTCTGAAAAAAAGATTGAGATGAATTCTTTACTACTTATTCCAGAAAGATTTCGGCGAGATCGAGATCGCCAAAGATCTTGATCGCGTATCATCTGAATATTCGTCAATATTCTCCGAAACGAAATCACGAAAAATAGAAAAAAGATATTAAAGTTAAAATTTGTCTTGATTTGTAAGTATTATGCACATTCATAACGAATATATAGGACACGCAATTGACTTTTTTCCGTTTATAATCCGTGTAATTTTGATATATTATTTTTGTATTATCGTACATAATTATAGGAGCAACAAAATGAAAATAATTAATTAAATTTTGCTGTCTTTGTACAAATATCCCAACACGATTTTCGAAATAGCACGGAAATAATGGAAAGGTATAAAAAAATTTCATTTTCGACGGGAAACCAAATGAATCAAATTAGAAAAAGAATCGCATCGATATACCGTGTTCGTTTACCATCTCTATCGTCTTTATCTCATCTGCGCTCATTTTTCTTCAATCGATTTTCGTCTCTCGATCGGTTTATACTATAGCGCATTCAATAATTCAATAATTTGTTGACTTTTCTACATATGTATATATAAAATTTGAGAAAGCGAATAATTTTAAAACTATATAAGAATAGAGATAAGAATAATAGGATCAAACGTACATTCGAAAAACATACCTTTTTAGATGCGTGTTTGTGATAATGATGTGGATGCAGCATACAAACGTAACGATCAATCGCCATACAAACAAGGATAACGGCACTTTGTTGGGTCAAAGCTCCTCTAAGAAGCGCCTGAAAAAAGAAGAAAAAATAAATTAAATCAATTATTAATTATTTTTCATACTTTATAGATTGTTCTGTGAATACTATTTTTAAAGAATTTTTTTTTTCTTTTTGCGTTTTTCGACAAATTTAAAAAGAACGAATAATATTTTCTCGTTCGAGTCAAGTATCTATACTTTCAAATACGCGATGCGCCAAAGGCGACAACGTGATTCGATGAATCGGTGACGCCAGTGTATCTATAAAGTAGCGACTACGAAGAAAGGAGTTAAGGGATAAGAGATGTGAGAGGATACTATACGTTTAAGATGGTTGCTATGGTGACCGTTGGCGTACGGCCAGGAAAAAGCTCCGATCTGGAGGGGCTAGGATCGCCCTGGCCTCGTTTCGGGCTATCCTCGAGACACTCCCGAGGGACCTTAACCGAATATTTTCACCGCACAACGAATTTATTCGATCGTTCTACCAAGAAATTCACAGTTTCTCAATCTTCTTGGTTAGTTGGTTAAGTGCGCTCTTCCTTTCGTTTTCCTTTCGCGAAAAATCAAACTCTCTTATTTGATCCGAGGCTGGAAAAAAATGCTTCTTTCCTATATAACACTTTACATTATCGTATAATTTCTTTATTTTCTCTATTAGATCGTTACCGAGATAATAAGAATAACACGCGTCCATCTCTATGTTATAATTTATTTTTTGAAAATTATTGGATTACCAGATTAAGAAAATCCTTAATTAATGTATTGAAGAAAAAGAAGAAGAAAAAGAAGAGAAAAGAAGAAAAATATGAAAATGATATTTAGACGAAAATTATGACGAATAACGTGTAACTACCAACTATTGGAAGAAATATACCGGATAAGGTACCGACTGCAGGAAGCACAGCTGCAAATTCCTAGTGGTGATAATTTCCTTAGCGCGGTATGAACAAGCTGCTGACATTTCCCACCCATTTTTCTTCGATTTCCGGTAGGAAATTCTCCAAGACGCATAGAATGTTGTATCAAAATTTTATCGGCCAAAGATAGAAAATATACGATAATTCGAACATTATATTTACAATCATTTAAATACATTACATATTATATTTATTCAATATGATATTAATAAGAGATGCAATTGTAAAATTTCAAATTCGATAAACGAAAATTTTTTATTATTGAAAAACTTTTATACGTTATATATTGCATCACGATGATATTTCAAAATATATATGCATCTAAAAGGAACGACTTTTTTCATTTCGAAAAGTTCCACTATGTGATCTACGTGATCTTTTAAATATGTTATTCATCGCATCGTTAAATTATAATATAGTTTATACATTCTTATACAACGATATTATATTATATTTAATCCATTATAATCCGTTATATCCATAGAATTGCATAGAAGAAATATATTATTGAAAAAAACGTGTGAATAACTGATATGAATGACGAAAACAACACATACGTTTTATTACCTGTATTTGACACACAATTTCGCCGTAAGGCCAACATCCATAAACAGCTGGTAGAAAGCCGAATGGTGTAACCAGAAGACCAATAGCAAGATCGTTGCTCGCTAAACTTGTCAGTAAGTACTTTGGCTGCAATAAAGTTGAAGAGAACCTGTTGATCGTTTAGATTACATTGTTCAGGTGTTATTTCATTGTGCAATGAATATCTATTTTAAATGGATGGCTTCATTGATATATATATATATACGTTTCAATTGAATGAAAACTCGAGTAAAAATTATTTAACTCGAGATATAAAATTATACGCATCAGATTTTTGCCAATTGGTTTTTGCCAATTGATAATAAAAAAAAGGAGAGAAATTGTTTTAAAAATTACCTATTTATGTATTTTAAGTAAATCCTATAATTGTAAATCGATCGATCTTTCTATATAATTATATATAATACATACTTTTAACTATTTTTTATATTTATTTAATTTACCAACCTGCGCGTGAATATATTTGCTGTATCGTCTGCTATTTATGACGCATATTACCAACAAATTGGCACAAAGAATACCGAGACTGAGCACGAGAATTAGAGTAGCGCGTAACAATTCTCCAGGGCCTGGTCCAGTCCAAGTGGCTTCGGACGTGTCTCTCCGCCAACAGCTGCTGTTGCTCAGCGCTGGTGCAAGCAAGATTGTTTGCTTGTGTTCCATTTTCTCTTTGGTTAACGTTTTTAAACGGTTGAAAACTCGCGTATAATCTCCTAGCCCAAACGAGACATTCGCGTCTCGTATGAGGCTGGGCTGGCAAATGCACGACCCGACAATTTTTCATCTCTCCAGTACTTCTGGCCCGGCTACCCTCGTTTTACCATCACTTGGAATAACTATCTCAACATCCGTCATTGTTATACGCACCAACTGAAACAATTTATTCACTTCAACCGATATTAAATTCGACACTACTCGACATCCACCTTTCCAATTTCACGATTCACAAATCGTTCAATTTCAATTTTTCTTTTACCTCTCATTTTCATCGTTATAAAATTGTATTTTCAAATGGCACATGATGCCAAGGCACAATCGATTAAGATATCTGTAACATAGAAGAATAAAATTTTCTATTATTATTATTATTATTTATCCATTTCGTAATCGAGAGAACGTAATAGAAATTTAGGAAATTTATATGTACTTGGATAAATTCTCAAATATTTTTCGTTTATGGACAGAAATAATGAAATACGAATCAACAAGATGGTTAATTATCGCATCAAAATATCCTGTACGATGTTCAGTCTTCTGAAAAATTTTATATTTCTCACATCTTTCAGAATTTTATTTTCTTATTCTAATGCAAAATCCCAAAAATAGCTTAAAATTTCCATTTTTGAAAATTATGGAAAAATATGGTCGCATTTTTACACATCGAAATAATAAATATATGTACATTTTATTCATATATGTATATGTACATAATAAAACTAACAATTTTAATACGCGAATAGCATGTTATAACTATCAAGATACGACATATATTAAATTGTACATATAGAAAAATGTGAAGAAATTCGATGTACGTGATCGAAATAGTTATTCTCTCTTCGAGAAAACTTTCGAGAAGCCGAACATAACATTTTGAGATTATATTCGTCTATAAAATTAAAAGAATTAGATTTTTACGATTTCGAATCAAATATTTAATAAAGTTTATCGAAGTACTTTCGGGAATCCGATCCGATCCCGATTCCATTATCGTTGAGTTCTTCCACCATTTCTCTGCTAAATAGATATAATAAATAATTCAAATCGTATCTATAGAATAAATAAATGAAATTAAATACAGTTTTAAAATTGTATTTTATGCGACTGTATAAAAAAGTTTCTTTCAAACTCGATCGAGACAAAGAAGAAAATTGAAACGAGAACGGAGAAATGTCCGGGGGCAAATTACGGTAGATATAATACGATATAACGGTTCCTTTCTTTTAATTATTGTAAAATCTATGGGAGTATTGAGATTCGTTTCGGTTCGTTAGTTGCGTACATCCTTATTATTCGACTCTCGCTCTCATTGGTTTTGCTTTTTCTTCTTTCTTATTTCTTATTTTCTATCCCACTTTCAAAATCTTTCTTAATCTTTCTTTGTAATCGATTTAATATATATACGCGTCGTTTAATAAATTTATGTTAAGAAATGAGTATATAAAAAATGAATATATATCTTCGTAAATTGTTAGTAGCATTCATGTAAATAAAATGATATATTTCGATAAGAAAGAAATCAATAATCCCTTAATTCTTTCACAATCGTTTTGATACTTTTTTTTATTTGCATTCTTTTACTTGCACATCCAACGTTAGGATTAATATGTTGTAAAAATTATATTAACACATTTGTAAAAACATATTTTCGTTACGAATATAATCGTGGATTGCTTTAGAAATATACATAGAAATATAATACATTTTCAATCATTTATTTTATTTTCTGTCTGTATTTTTTATCTGTTTTTTAATTATTTACTGCATTGATGATGCGGAGTTATTTTTGTTTATATACCGGAAACAATTGCGTAAATTCTCCTATATATAATAAAAATATTTATTATATACATTTATAAAAAAGAATATAGAATTTTTAATTGTACGTTATAAATTATTAAACAATAAACAATCTTATAAAGGATAACAAATACTTATATTTAAATGTTTCGAACGTATTAACTTAAATTAAATAAAAATAAATACGATTTTTGATCATGATAGCGAATTTTCGCGCATATTTTTCACATTATATATTCGGATACATGTTTTGCATAAATGCATTTTATATAAATGAATACGATAAATACAAATTACAGATATCCAAATATTATGAAACTAATCGATTAAGTAAATCGAAAAATAAATCTAACTTTCTTCGAGAGAAACAAGATTTTTATATCGATTTGGTATCATTGGTTATAAGCATTGTTACAAGCAATATTCTTTTAGAAATAAATTCATTTATCGTATAATTTTCATTTTAAAATTTAATCACATTGAAATTAAAAATGAAAAATAATTCTGAAGATAATGATTTCCGAGTCAATGAATGAAAAATATTTGAATCTTTGCTGTTTGTTTTAAAATTTTTTAAATTTTTCTCTCGATTCTCGAAATATTATCGTTGAAAAAAAGAAAAGGATAACTTTTAACCGTGTTTATTTCTTATTCCTATCATTGTCACTTATCCGGATCTCTCTCTCGGAATCGTATCTTACTTCACTGACCTATCTTAGATCCTAGACAATCCTAGACAAGTGAAAAATGTTTCTTTCATTTCCAAAACAAAACGTAGTTTTCGGAATGAATGAAAAAGATTTTGATTCGTGATTTTATATTGCGATATAAAGTATGTATATGTATAAAGATATAATTAAAAAAGTACAAATAAAACATACATAATTAAATATACACACACACACACATATATGTATAAAACATATTTTCATTAAATGAATTTGAACATATTTTTTAATTATATAAAATTTGCAGTCTAATCATGAAACGTATAATTAATCTTATTAATCTTATCTTTATTTCGTCAATACAAACAAAGTTTTATTTTTGTTTGTATATCTTAAAATGTAAAATATTGTAAATATAAGAAAAAAACAATATTACAAATATATAAATTTCTCAAGTCGTCGATAAAAAATAAAAATTATTAACTTATTCTGTTATAATTAATTTAAATAACATATATATAAAATTGCTCGTTTCCGATAACTATCAATTTCATTTATTTTTATCATCGTATTTTATATGAGAAAAATAATTCGATATTATTTACCTTTATATATATATATATATGTATGTATGTACTATATGCTACTAATCTTGCCTACCATTGTACGATACTAGTCTAACGTTCCTATCGGTTCCTCTATAATGATGCAATTCATCAATTTACAATGTCATCGTACATATATGTACATATATAGATATGTTACAAGCATACGTATATTATGGATCTATTATATATAACTTATTCCTCATCATCTACCACTAATAACAATGTGTTATGTTAATTATTTTTAATGAAATCTTGCTTTTTAATCAGTTACAAACAAAATTAATATCGTGAAAAATGTTTCACGAAAATATTCTAATATATATTAGATTATAAAAGATTGAATTAAAAAATAGAAAAATTAAAAGTATCGGTTAAGTTATAAGAATCAGCTTTGATTTCGATTTATCGTTTACAAACTGTTTATAATAATCGCTTATAAAAAAAACAAAATTATAGGTATGTTTCGTACTTTTAGAAGTAAATAATAATCAGATAGAATAGAATATTAACAATTGAGATGAATTTAAAACGAAATAAAAAAAAAAAAAACAAAGTAAAATTTTCGTGTTTATATACGTGTATAGTATAAGAAATAGAATTAATAAATGAAAATGATACGATTTTATACGACAAAATATTCCAAACTTCATAAAAATTCGCAAATATGTGACTCGACATCGATACAACAATGAGAATGAGACAAGCGTGTCGTTCGTTCGATATCGTATGGTAAATTGATGAACTATAGTGTAACCTTCACTTTAAATCAATCTCCAAACTTCTTGTTCACATTTCTCCTACCACTGCATAAGTTATAGGTATAATTATCGATACGTGCAATTATAAAATCGATTAAACATATTGATATAAACCTTTTTATATTATTATATTTTAATAAAAATATAATTTAAAATATAATATATAATACCGATAATGATTCGATAATATACCAACTTATTAAAAAATAAAGAACAAAAATAATATATTTCATAATATTATCTCAATAAATATTGATATTTTGAAAATCAATTTTTCTTATATAAATGTTGGAATTTTATTAAATTAAGAAATACTTATTTTTACATACTATCGCATTAATTTAAAGAAAAATAAAAAAATAAATATTATAAAATAAAAATCGCAATAAAAGATACGAATATTTCTATTTATTTCGGATTGATTCGGATCTTTCATTGAAAGATTTCATTGCGTTTTAACGATTGATTCTCATTGTTCGTTTTTTTTTAAAAGACTATTGATAAAATATTGATAAAATATTCGAGATATAAAAAACAAATAATATAACATTATTGTAACATTAAGAATATTATGATCTCCGATATAAACACATCAATTGAAAATTGAAAATTAATTTTAATTAAATATACACCTATGTACATATATGTACGTAATATATATATATATATATATATATATGTACATACTTATACTATACATATGTGTATTATCGAAAATTTATCGTATAAACAAAATAGATATATTTGAAGAAGATTGATGATACGCGTAATAATAAAAATAAAATATATAACTTAAATATAATATAATTAATATTAACGATCAATAACAAATGCTTAAAGGATATGGACTATATGTATTTTAAATGCAAAACTTGTATCTTTATATTTTTCTTTTTTTAATATTTATGTTAAATAATCAAATTTGATATAAAAAATAAGATTTTTATTAATTTTTATTAATAAAAGTGTTATATTATTTTTAGATATTTAAATTGAATCGAACGAATCAAATGTTCAAATAAATAATTAAATAAAGATTGATCTAGAAAATTTATAAAAGATATTAATTTATACATAGAGATATGAAATATTATTCTGTGACAAATAAAATTATTTGATATGGCGATTATTGATATTCGATTATAAAAATTTACACACAACGCGAAATACACATGAAATTGATATTTATAACAATACGAAATAAATTAATAAATCAAAAATAAACGCGTACAAAATATACTATAAAAAATAGTAATACATACCTTCATATATGAAAAAAATTTGATAGAAGCCATTTGATAAATATTTAAATCACACTAGAGAAAAGATAATCACACTTGGATTTGAAAATTCTTAAGAAGAATATTGTGAAAAATCAGCATAAAATAAATAAATCAATATAATAAAGGAAAATGAGGAAAATTTATTAAAAATATATACTTTTTTTATTCCCGATATTTTATTCTTTCAATTTCGTTTACGTTTTGTGTACAATAATATACGCGTAAAACAATCACAGAAGTCAATCTAAACGATAAATTAAATATAACGATAACCATGTTAAATTATTAAATTTCTAACTAATTCAAAGAATAAATATATGGCGATCATTCTCTGTTATAAATTATATATAGAAAGTCACAACACGATACTTGATATATTCCCCCGACGAAGAAAATCTCTGAATGAACCCCCAAAGAAGAAAATCAGAAAGACAAAAAACAAAATAACATCACGACGACGCGAAGTCTGACGACGCACTGACTACCCGCCTCACTGCTCCCGACTCACGACAGCCCAACACTTGGGCTCGCCAGAGAACACCCATTGCACCGATATGCCAAAACTCATCCTCCCACACGATTCTCCTCTACACACACCCGTCGTCTTCGCTCTTTACTGATCGGAACCAAGTGATCCACTTTACCAAATATCCAGCACTCTACCATCACGGACGAGAAACAAAATAGGCGTGACATCTTATGGGATCTTTATGTTACACGTTCTGAAATACCAACCTCAAAAAGATCACAATGTTTCTCACGCCATCTAGCATATTATAATTTAAGTACCTATATAAAATTAAATCGCTCAAAAAATACAAAGTAAAAATCTAAGCTTTATATATATGGTTAATATTAGCAATTGAAACGAAAATATTTATCATTTATAACAATTTGATAAACATTTTTACCTACGAAAAATATAATCTCACTTAATCGCAATCAATTGATTTATCTTATTTCTTATAAACATATAATTGTACCATTGATATGACTATACACATTCATATTATATATTGTATATTAAATAATAATGATTTTCCATTATTTTCATTGAAGGTTGCTACAAAATAGAGACCTTACCCTGATCGTCTCATCCATCCTTCTTTATTTTCAAATAATTCTCAATTTCTTCTTTTGCAAAACATTCAAACATTTGGTTGTTGCGTAACACAAGCAACAAAAAGAATTTTAAAGAAAATCAACGCGGAAATCTGAAAGTAAATTAATCCAAATTAAATTTTTATCGATATTTTCCATCAAAATTATAAAAGTTATAGACGATGAATGATCGCAATGATAATTATCCCTTACATGTGTACAATCTCAGGCTCACATTTCGTTTCGAAGAATCGATTGAAAGGAAAGATCGAAGAAATCGATCTGGTACATTGTCTCAGCTTTATTCCCAGTTTTTTAAATTTTATTTCCTGAAACAAATTGTTACGCGAAAACGTCTATCCGAATAGAAATTGCTGCCTAGTCCTATCTACTTATTATTAACATCTATATTAAAAATATACTATCTTACCTAGTCTACTATATTTAAAAAAAAACTAAGGAAAACATCTAGAAAAACATTTCCAACACTCGAGCTCATCACATTATTCTCACATTTTAACTTTACGTATCATTTTTTTGAAATCAGACTAGACTCATTACGATAAAGATTATATACTTAAATTTTCATTGTAAATATTTCTGATCGAATACGAATGTTTTCTAAAGAAATAATATCGCAAAATAAATTAAATTTCTATTATTATTGTTATTTGAGCTTAAAAATTAATAATGCTATTATTTATCGTTATATCCGCAATAATTAATTTCAAATTACGATTGTAAATTGCATTAATATTGAATTAATAATAATAAAAGAAATAATAACAATAACAAACGAAGCAATTTCACAGCTTAATACATATACAATGTAAATAAAATAATAAAAATGTAATAAAAAATACATCGTGTACATCGATATATTAGTGCAATAATAACTGAGAAATTTTTATTATTAATTTATGAATTAAAATCATTGCTTCTCTCTCAAATAGCTCAAATAGCACCTGAGCACAATGAAGATTTTGGCAATGGACATGAAAGGGACTAAATGAAAATTCTGAGCTAGAAAAAAAGATTACTATTAATATTTTGTATATAACCGGTTAACGAACTTTGATTTTATACTCATTCTATCTCATTCTATCTTAAATTTTAACGATTCTTCTTTATTTTTCATCGATGTAATAAATTATTGAAATTTTAATATTCTATAAAAAAAAAGAATCACTAATTAGAAAAGAATATATTTATTAAAAAAAAATTATTAAAATGAAATTCAATGAATTGACTTAAAGTTAAATATTAATGAAAATATCCTCTTGTGATTTCTCCATCAAAACAAATTTTCGAAAATACAAAACAAATATTCAAAATTTGTAGCTTTGATTTCAAAATCTGCCTTCAAAAAATCTGTCACGAAATGTTCTTTTTACATGTAATATTTTCAAACGAAAGAAATAAAACTATTAACTTTACTATCTGGATAACTGTGTAAGTGACTAAATTGTTTTAAAATTATTATGTTAATATAAATGGAAATAAAAAAAAAATTTATTTATTATTTATTCAAATATTTTGTCTGCAATTCAGATACGAATATTTATACAATAATTTAATTTTATAGTTATAACTAACTTGGAAGATTATTAATTTAGAATATTATAATATTATATAAGATTATATAAATATTTATAAAGTAAAGCAATGTACAAGAAAACTTAGCCTGAGATAATAAACAAAAAAAAAAAGAATGTTACTACTAATGGATGTAATAAATATCCGCGATCATTATGCTCATGAAAAATTCGTAATACAACCAATCAATTCGTGTCGATTTGGAATTTTCGTTCTACGACATGATTGAGTGAGCAGAAGAACCGAAATGCATGCAATTTACCATTAGATGCGAAGAATCTGCATTGCTCTGCATCGTGAAGTAATCATTCGTACAGAATTTCATACTGGAATATAATGTAATATAATCTAAGAAAAAATGATACATTATAATTTATTATAAATATGATGATAAAGATTGAAATTTTTAATAAGGTAAAATAAAATAATGATAAAAATTCAAAGTTTTGAAATCATCGAATAAAAACTTGAAATTTAAAAATATATATAAAAATACAAATTTTTTAATTGCAGAATAAAAATTTAAATAGAAAAAAAAATAATTACCTTTTCGCGTGATCAATTATTGCTTTATTCTCTTGAGTGAAGCACTTACTCTATCCTGTATCGAAAGTGAATATTTAAAGTAAAAAAAATAAAAATAAGAAACTATTACTATTAACGCATCCATTTACCTTCTTCAATCGATGAACAAGCACTGATTCTAATTTTGCAATTATTGTCATTAAATATTATTAAAGATAATACAAAAAAACGGAAAATATCATAACGAAGTAAATATTGTGATACCATAGCCATAATAATCTGAAAATAAAATTGTATTAATGGAAAGAAAGGAATGTAAAAATAAAAACAATATATGTTGTTTTCTTTTTCTTTTTCTATTGAGCATTTATTAAAAAAGATATTATTAAAAAATTTTTTTAAAAATTATATTGTAAATGTTCATTCATTTCGAATTAATAATATTCCATATTAGAAATATTATATTCGAAAATTTTTTCAAAATATAGAAAATTCAAAATTCAAAAATTCTAAGAAATCTAAAAAATCTTAAATAGAAATCTTAATAGTAGCAAATTTTTTCTACTTTTTGAACTTACATATTTTCAATAATCAATATTATGAATTACATAAAAACTATATATATATATATATATATATATATACATATTACATAATTAATTATTCAAAAAAAAACAAAATTACAAAAATACTTACATATCTATTTTCCCGATACAGATAATTTTACCTTTCCATATCTCCATAAAATATAAACTGTTATCATGCTGTTCATATCGAAAATCCTTTTTTTCCTGTCTAAAATAATCTTAGCAATCAATTATTTGAACAAAATGAAATCAAATTTTATAAATTTTTTAATTCATAGAGTGTATAAAATTAAATTGGTTTTTATATTAAAATAAAGCAATAATCTAATTCAAATAATGAAAACGAATAAAAAAAAAAGAATAAACTATTCTTGAAAGAATTATCATTTATAATAATATTGAATAAATAATTCACCAAGTCGAGCATAGCGTGAACATGAATTGTCTATTTCTCTATTTTTTGTCTATTTATCTATTTATCTATTTTTTCAAAGGCTCAATTATAAAATATATTCTTGGAGCTTTGAGCTCCAATAATATAGATACTAGTAAAATAGATACAAAAATAATAAAATACGAATTAAATATAGAATAGATATATTTTGAAAAAAAAAATTTAAATATTAAAATATATGTAAAATACGTGTGTGAACGATCTAGCTATTTCCATATAATTATTTCTATATAAATAAAAGGAATAAAGAAATTTATAATAATTTTGTTATAAAAAAATAAGTCAAATTTTTTTTATCACATTAATATGATCGAATTATCAAATTATCTCATAATTATATATATATATTAATTAGTGATGCGTGCAAGATACATTTATAACATTTTCAAAGATATTCCATCTTTCAAATTTCAATCAAACGACAATGTATTATAGAAATTCAATTCTCGTATAATGACTGAATGAACAATTGTTTAAACAAAACTTAATAATCTATAATTAAACTTAATAACTATAATACAATACTTTATACAATATAAAATAAATATTTTACATAATTACACATTTCTATCGATAAAACGTGACTGATCATCACAATTTTCAATTGCAGACTGATGACATGCGCATTTAGATGCGCATTAATTCATCTCGTTGTTAAATTTTAGCACTTTTCTGATTGGCTGGAACAGCATGATTTTTCATTTATTTCATGCGCAAAAATTAAATATATATATAATATAATAATATGTACATTTTAATTGTAAATTTTTGTATATCAAAATCTTACAAAAAAATACACCAATTAAAAATATAATATAAAAATAGATTATTGTAATTAATTTAATATAATTTTATAGTTATAAAATTATGTTAATCAATATTATATGATCTTATTTATAATTGTGAAAATCAATAATCTTTTTTTTTTTATAATTTATTTTCATAAATCTTTTGTCAATTGTTTAATTTCCAACAATATATATAAAGACATGTACATGTACGTATTTATCATGTACTTATATATGTATTTGTATATATTTGTAATATATATTTGTAATAAATCGTTATGTGATATAAAATTTATTGACATAAATTTTTTTTTTATTATACATATATTCTTTAATATTTCATTTTATTTATATACATTTATATTTATATTTCATATTTTTATATTTCATTAATATTCTTAAATATATATATTTCAAAAAATAATAATAAATATAATATACAATGATAAATTTATTATTTTAAACTTTTAATTCTTATTAGTTTTTCTTTCTAATATATATATATATATATATATATTTTTTTTTTCATATTTTAAATTATATTATTATGTAATATTTAATTATATAAATTATATTCTATAATATATTATAATATCTATATTCTATAATATATTATAAATTGTAGAATGCGCTATCGTCAATACCTACATAACCTTTGTATGCAAAATGATTACTTATATATACATACAAAGTTATATATTAACGTATGCATGAACAATTTCATATTTAAGATATCATAATATAAGATATCATAATAAATTTCTATAAATAAAAAATACTTTTTTATTATTCAATTTATTATATATTCTGTTCTTCTGTAAGTAGATATTACAAATACATATACCATATCATTATACCATTTAACCTATCATTACTATTAATTGTCAATTTTTAAACATATAATATTGAAAAATATTTATAATATTTAATATTTTCTTGACATTAAAATATACATATTGAATATAAATATGATATTTGAATATTTTCAAATTATTGTTTATTACGACGATTTCCTTCCTTGTTTTACGTTTTATTTTGAAATTTCATCAATTTCATAAATATTCATATAATTAAAACAATTGCTATAAAGAATTATTTTTTATAAACTATAGCAAATACACGAAATTATGGCTACAAATAAAAACGTTATAGTTCTTGTACCAAACGGTCGTCGGCAAAATGTTGCGGTAACTCCAAATACTACAATATTACAAGTAAGCACTAAAGCTATTAATAAATTATTTATATAGATATTTTTTAATTTCATATTAATATTAATTGAAATATTTTTTTCTAGATACTGGAAGAGGTTTGTCAAAAGCATGGATATAATGTGGATAATTATGATCTTAAGTAAGTATTTTTATTTAAAAATAAAATAAAAATAAAACAGTGTAAAGTGTCAAGATAAAATGTTTAATTAAATATATTTAATGTATAGGCATTTCAATCATGTATTAGATCCTAATGCTATATTACGTTTTACCGGATTGGCAAATAATGCACAATTAGAAATGATTCCTTGTACAAAAATACGTTCTACTTCCACTGTTGTAATAGGTATACAGTTAGAAAATGGAGAAAGATTGATGAGTGAATTTATGCCTAATATAACATTAGCTGAAATTTTAAAAAATTTAAATGTCAATGAGGATTTTGAAAAAGTTACATTGATTTATATGCATCGTGAGGTATGAATATATATATTATTGTTAGTACTATTATTTTAATAATCAAGTTTGTATTGAGAAAAAGTTAATCAATATCAATATTAATAACTTCTATATAAATTTTTGTTTTATTTGAACTGATTTTTATATTATAATTATATTTATATCTTTGCCTTAATATATGTATTATTTATTATTTATTAATTTTTTATAGTATTTAAAGATAATATTTATTATTTTATATATTAGTAATCATTAATTTGAAATGAAATCAAAAAAATGTATCAAATCAATTTAATATTATTTATTGATTTTTGCAGATTTCTGGAACAGAAGCTTTAAAAAATACAACTTTAAAGTTATTAGGAATCAATAATGGTAAAGCTATTTTACGGCTGGTACATAGAAATCCCAAAAACATAGATAGTGTTACTTCAACAACATTAAAAACGGTTAATAAAAACATTGATATTGATAAAAAAAATTCTAAAAATGATTATTTATTACCATCAAATTCTAATCAAGTATCTAATGTATCTACAAATCAAGAAATGCAAAAAATAAAAGAATTAGTAGTATGTTCTCAAAACATGGAAAAAAAAACAAAAGAAATAATAAAAGAGCAAAAAGAAGATAAAATAATACCATCAACTAGTACTGATAACTATGTTGGAAACCAAATTTTAATGCAATCGTCCAGTAAACGTGAATCAGATGATTTAAATAATATAGAATTTGTAAGATTTGTAAGATATATAAATTCCTTTTTTTTTTTTTTTAATACAAAATATACAATCTTTCTTTGTTGTAGTTAGGTGAAAGAAATGCTTTGGTATTTAATCAGGCTACAATTCAAGGAACGTTCAGAGATGAATTACCAGATGATTTTTATGATTTAACAGTTGATGATGCAAAAATATTATTAAGAGATGCTAAACGTTATAGAAAAGAACTGGAAGAAGCACCTCTTTTAACAAATGTTCAACGACAGTCGAATCAAAAAAAACAAATATTAAATCAATTAAATAAATATCATTACACGATAATCCGTATACAATTTCCAGATCAATTTGTCCTCCAAGGTTTATTTCAACCAATGGAAACTGTACAAGCGATCAAAGACTTTATAAAATGTTATTTAACTGATGAAAATAGTGATTTTATAATCTGTAAGTAAAAAAATAATATTTCATATGTGTAAACAAAATAATGCAGAGATTCTTAAGAAATAATATTGCATTAAAAAAATTAAATTTATCTAATTTATATATACACACACACACACACATACATATATATATATATATATATATATATATATGTATGTATAAATAAATTATTTTTCAAATTATAAATAAGATCCAATCAACATTTTTGTACATCAATTATTATTTATTGTTTTTAATATTTAGAATCAATCCTTCAAAGCTGTTCCTTAATATTCTGTATTTAATATTTAAAAAAAATTTCTTTTTATTATTTTCATGTATCATTAATCATCATTATCTATATCCGATACTTTTTCCGCAGATATATGGAACATCACATATGCTTTTAGAAAGATTTAAACTAATAATAGAATAAACTTTGTATTTATAAAAGTAAATTATCATATAAAAACTGGCACTTTATAATTTTTCTTTAAACCAATTAAATTTTATATTTTATTTTTTTTAGAAAAATTTAAAAAGAATTATTGACAACATTAGGTAATATAAATATATAAATTACATAATTAATGATAATAAGTACATATTTTTTTTTATGATAATAAGTATAATTTTTTTTTAATATATTAAACTAATCTCAACTGATTTAAATTATACTACAATATATGTTATGCTGAATGTACGCATTTATTATAATTAAAAATACATATTTTTCTTATTAAATAGTTACTACACCACCAAAACATATTTTGGATCCTAATTCTCACTTAATTAATGAAAACTTAGTTCCCTGTGCTATTATTCATTATTCTGGATCATCAACTCTCAAATCGGATGTGAAACAAAAATTTACAGATCCTAAAAAAGTTGAACTGCAAGTGGCTAAAACTAGGTAAGTGATATAATTTATATTTATTATAATATAAATATTAATTTTTTTTAATATATATTATATTATTCTATTTTAGAAAATTAATGATAAATCAAGAAACTAAAACAATAAATGAAGATGCGAATATAAATAATGTTACAAATAGTAGATCAGTATTTAATACGTCTACTAATAATGAATTATTAAATGAAAAAAAAAATAAAATTCCAAAGTGGTTAAATCCATCACTGAAATAATTAATTTTTGTTATTATTAACAAATTCTTGTAATATTTCAGAGTAAAATATAATAATATTTTAATATGTACATACATATATACACAAGTAGGCATATATATTCATGTATTTCATTTAATATTGTAATTGAATAAACTTTTGTATAATAAAAGACTGAAATATAAATGAAATCAAAATTAGTATACAAATGTTATTTTATAAAAAAAAAAAAAATGATTTAAATTATGAGTTGTTATATATATAAATTTACTCCCCTTTTTTTCTTTTTTTTTTTTTTTTTTTTCTTTTTTAATCTATATTTGAAGATACTATTGATTTTAATTCCTTCTCTCATTTTTCCAAATAATAAATATGTATAGTTTGTATAAAATAATTAATGAGAATTTCAATCTATTAACAATCATTAACATATTTTTCGATATATATTATATAAATAAAAATATTAACTTTGTAAATCAGGAGGTACTGTAGTGGGCGATTGTAATTGTAAATGCAGAAGTCGTCGAGCAGATCCACCTATTATATTTCCAGTTGGACCTGAACCACCTGCTTCTTCTGTAATACTTTTTATCAAATTATCTTCTACGACATCAGAATTTTTATTTATTTCAGAATTTTCATCTTTTTCTATTTCAGATTGCAATTGAGAATCTAACAGTCTCATATATTTATCCATTTCATTCCTTTTATCTTCATTGTCTTCACCTAAAGATCCTTCTGAACTTCCTTCAAATTCTCCTTCATTTCCAGGAACAACTAAATCTAATATACCTCGCAATGTACTGTCAAATATGTCCGCATCGAATTCAATTTTTCCGTTATCTTCCGAGTCGTGTATTATATCAGTTTCAACTGAAAAATCCCTGAAAACAAGAAAAAATAGAATGAAAACAGATAATATATATAGCATTCTTTGTAATATCATTAGAATTCTAACATATATAACATACTCTAAAAATTGTACACCATCAATATCACTATTTTGATTCAAGAACATCTGTACTTTTTCTTTAACACTTAACGATTCTTGTTCATATTTCTTGCTTTTAACATTTCCCCATTTTTCGTTTAAAAATGTTTCTAACTGTACTGGATCTACATTTAACCAACTATCACTATCTGCAGGACTTAATGCAACTTCATCTTGAACTACAATATACAATATACAAAATACAATATAAAATAACAATTACTAACAAGTTATTAAATGAACATTAATTTTAAAAGATTACCATGCAATTCAATATCATTAGTCTGTATATTTTCCCATGCTTCTAAAACTTTTTCAGCGTCACTTTTATTATTTTTGATATTAGAATTATATAAGTTAAAATACTTCAAATAATAATCTTTAGCTGCATTCATGAGCTTTTCATATTCTTCGCTGCCTTTTAACAAATTTCTAAAATAACCACTAATTTCTAAACGACTTAAATATGCATTTAAAACATCATCATTTGCTTTTAATTTGTCCGAATCATTAACTGATGTTTTTTCTCTTTTTCTACGTTCTTCAATTGCACGAGCAACTAACATTTCTAAGCCACATGCTATTTTAATTCCAAGTATATGAGATTTATACTTTGAACAAGTTATTGGTGGTATATTCCAGCCTGTTCTTGGATCACCTGTATATCGACAATGATTTGCCATCGCATACAAACATTTAGTCATTCGTATATTAACCATAATACGTTGTTCAGGAGGGAAATATCTCATGGCACGACAAACCTACAATAAATAAAAATTAATGATAATAAATTAACGTATTACAAATAAAATTTATTTGGACAAAAAGTAAGATGATAATAATTCAATTTTTACTTTTCTTTCAAATGGATCAGAATGACATATAGTTCGAATAGCTAATGCAACTAATCTTGGTTCTTGTTGAAGTATTGAAATTGCTTTTTCTGATAAAAAAACTCGAGCTTTATGATTTCTTTTTTTAATTTCATCAGGATAAGTATTAATTCGCTTTCTTAATACATCTTGTACTTTCTCAGGGGCCCTGTATAGATAAGGTTCCTCCCAAATATTATTTAATGAATCCAATAATGTTTTATGTTTATCGCGAACAATATGCAATTCACCATTATACATAAATACATGATTTTCACATGTTTCAGGATTAGCCCATGGGGGTAAGACATTTGCAGCTTCTATTAAAAGAAATTCACCATCAGAGTCTATAATTTTAGCGATCAACCCATCAAAAGTTTGTGTAAGTTTAGATATTAAAAAAACCGTAAACCACTCATCAGTTATATCTTCATCAAAACATAAGCGTACATAAATGTGAGGTAATATATTACATTCTGTAAAAATAAAAATAATATAATATAATGATTAAAATCAATAATTTATAAAATTATATAATATTTTACCTTCTATAATTGTAGAATTTTCAATGAGTTTTTCTAATAATAATGCTTGTTTTGTTCTAGGACGAAAAATCAAATTATCATTATGCCAAATATAATTTTCAATGTATGATGCAATTTCTTCATTGAATTTTATAATTTCTTGTATAAGAATTTCCTCTGTTATGGTTATTAAAGGCTTTGTGTAACAAATTTTTGGATAAAGAAAACATTCAAGAACATCATCTTCTTTAACTTTAGATATTTTTGTGTAAGCCATGGTTTCATCAATGTCTGTAAGGTCTTAATGAAATGAAAATCACTTTTTATCGTAGATAAATTTTTTCAAATTTATAAAAATATAAAAATCAGATTTTCATAAATATTGATACTGTCGTGTACGCGTAAAAAAAGAAATTTTTGACACAACAAATTTTTCTATTAAAATTAATCGAATCTTATAAATTGTCATTTCTATATAATTATTTATATACAATTTATTCACATTTGCAATAAATTTATCAAATATTGATATTTATTAATTATTTTAAAGATACATAAGACAATCAAAATATTATTATATTATAATAATAAGTAAAATATTACTTATCACAATAAGTACAAATTACTAATATCCGTCCAACTATAAGTTCACTTACACGAATCATCGAATATAAACAAACCAAATCACGTGATACATTACGACTTCAACTATTGGTTGATGAATTCAATCAACGTTAGTATACTATTCTCTTTATAAGAAACTATCGAATTAATGAATTGATAATAAAATTATAAAAATTTTGTTATACAATTGTTTAAGAATATATATAAATGTGTATATATATAAATGTGTATATAAATGTTACAAAAAATACTAATTAAGAATGCTATTTAAAGCGAATCTGATTTTAAACGATCAAGAAATTCAAAAAAAAGAAAAAGAATAGAAAAGAAAGATAAGAGAAAGAGAATGAAAAAATCGTCTGTTAAAAATTAATTATTTTTTTTATATATAAAAATAAATTGAAACAAATGAATAATAATAAATTAATGATAGATCGTGATTTAAAAGAATTCATAATAATAATAAATAAATACACTGTTATTGTGACAATTTTACAATATAAATAATAGATAAATAACAAAATATCATTAGGAATCAAGTAAGTAGAATATCATCACAATATCATCAAAAATTTTGATTTTAAAATTATAATGTAATAAATTAAAAGAGATAATGTTATTATGAAAACATCATTCATATTTTTTTTAAAACATTATCAAATTTTATTTAATTTCGCGATAAAATTACGAAATATATATATTTAACATTTTCATTTTAAGATTTATATTTCATTTTTCATATTTTCATTTTAAGATTTTTGATGTATTATTTATTCGATATATCACATTATATATCGTATTATCTTATCTTATTTGAATCTTTAATAAAATAAAGGATATTATATTTTAAATATAAACATTTAAATAAGGCTTTTAGAGTTAAATGTAATATATCTTATATAATTAATTTCTTTTATCTATTTTTTTTATCTTTATTATTGTTACATCACGATTTATTTATTAGATAAATAAAGGATAATAATATTCAAATAATATATAATAAAAAATGAGAAACGAAATAAATTTTGATTACATTATGTAAATATATATATATAATTTCTATGATCTTTTACTCAAAATTAGATATTATTAACTATTTATTATTTATTTTAATTAAAAATTTAAAAAATTAGAAATCGTTAAAATATAGTATTATAGTATTATAGAAATACCGAATTAAATATCTTTACTCGGATGTTTAATGTTTAATAAAATTATATTTAATAGTAAAATTATTATTATGTTTTATGTTCTATAAAAATAATAACAACACGTATTACAAATGTCCTTAAACCATATTTGTGTATTTATGTATGCTAACAATATAAGTACAATGTGCATGTGCGGGCTTAATGTTAAATGTATAATTCTTAAATATAAGACAACTATAATAATTAAAATATGTTATAGTAGAAATTTATTATTATTTTTCCCTTTTTGATAATTGATAATAATTTTATGTTTTTTTAACCTATAGATCAATGTTTATTTATTAATTAATATTTTAATAAGAAAATTTTATGTACTATTCTCATTTACAATTTTTAATTAGAATGTCTTAAGCATGTCAGAGAAGAAGAATAATGTTGATAAATAATTAAAACAGAAGATAATGCTACAATAATAAAAATCAATAACGTAAATGAAACCAAAGCCAGGGGTCTGGGTATCAGAGTGGTGTAACCAATACTCCCAATGTAAGAAAGCAAACTAAAGTATGCCTTTTTCTTTTTCCATCCATTATTACAAGTACGTATATACATATGTGGTGTACTTCCCGTTGTATTGCTGACACTTACCGGATTCATCACATCATCTGTTATATTAATCCTTCATATAAAATAATACAAGTCAATAATTCAATACTTTATATATATCCCACTTAGAAATATTCAAATTCTACGTAGATATCCTTTCATAAATATATAAGATGAAAATATAAATTAAATAAATTTTCAATACACGGTACATATATATGTATACATATGATAAGCATTTTAGAATTTTGATCACAAAACAATAAATAAATCCAGAATGAATCAATCGATTGATTCTTCGATAGGATGTAATTTTGATTTCAATGATAAATTACGAATCTATAAATTTGATTTAAAGCTATCTCTTTTTTTTTTTTTAAATATACACATTTACAAATATACATATAACATTTCATTACTGAATGTAATAATTGTTTTTATATTTTTATTATTTAAAACCTTATGATTAAACATTCTATTGCGAAGAAATAATGTTGCGATCATTATTTTTCGAAACTATAATTATTAAATGTGAAAGTGAATGGGATCAAAAGTAGTATCTATTCTATCTATTTATAAATAATCAACAAAATGATGAATGTGTATGGTTTTAAATCTAACGAAAAAGATATCTATTTATCTTTCTTCTTAATACTTCTATAAATATATGTTACAAAAAGTAGCACGTTTCATTTGTCTTGTAAAAAAAAAAAAAAAAAACATGAGAATAAGAAAATCTCATTTGCTTGAGAGATGAGATTCAAATATATATATATATTTCACTAAGGAATTCAGAATTCTTAAAGAAGAAGAATTAAAATCTTAACTAGAAATTGTCTAATTTGTTCTGATTCCTGATTTTAATTTCTATTCTAATATCTCTTATTTTTTGTCAGATCGTGGTTAATGCATATGCAATACTTTATTTCCCCATTTCTCCAAATCAATCATTAAAAAAATTTATTATTTTTTTAATTTATTTATTATTTTCTTGACATTATTCTCGACAATCAATTGTTAATCTAATTTCTATGTGAATATGTTATTTAGCATTTAAAATTTCTCAATTTTTTTTTTTATGTTTCTTAAACATTATATATTAGAAATTTATAAATTTTATAAACACATCTATTAATAAAATTAAATGTAACATTTGCTACAAAAATAAAAATATAAAAACGTAAAATAACGTAAAAATAATTTGTATTTTAATGACAAATGTTGATATAAAAAATGTGTTCATAATGTAGTATCATGTACAAAAAATATTTTCGAATCATATTCTGAAATAGTAGAAATAGTAGAAAAAACAAAGTTTTAGTTTGATAAAAAGATTAAAAATTGTTTATTTTTTTTTGTTATATAATATATATAAATGTATAAATATTTGAATCTAAATAAAAAAAATCGGAAAATATATATTTTATTAAAATTCAATACTTAAAAACTTATCTTTTAAATTTAATAAGAAATAGACTATAAATAAAATAAAATTTATATCTTTATCAATGAAAAGAAATAACATCTAAATAGAAATTTTTTTTCATGCCCTAAATATGCATTGTGAAGAATATTTTGTTTTATATTCGTATATATAAAATTATAATTAATATCAATATAAAATTGAAATTTTATGTGAATGCACAAATATTCACAATCTAATGATAAAAAATATATCTACATAATTAATATTAAATGAAAGTACGTGATGCAACAATTTCTATTTTAAATATGAAATTTCAAATAATGCATTCTTACCGTTGTTTACAGTTGCAACATTTACATTTTTGTCGGCGAGCATGGTTACTCCATTGGCGACGTAATTCACAAAAGTTATTTAACCATCTACAACTTGGTTTCGGCGGGGTATAGCAATTCCATTCCATTTCTTCAATACATTGATAAGGTAAGCATGCGCTTACTGTACCAGTATTAGTGGGTTGAAAAGTATTACAATCCGTAGGAATGAAACATCCTTCGTTCGTATTTCGACATAAACAAAAGTGAGAATCAACTACAGAACCTCTTTTCATGTGAACATTATCATGGTTTGCTATATTGAAAATGAAATCATTAGAAACATTTTATCTATATGTTAATTTTATAATATGTATTTATTAGTAAAAATAATTTTCAAAATAAAAAGATGTAAAATTATTTTTTTAAAAAATTTAATTTACAATTTTTGATTTATTTTTATATATAGATATTATTTAAATTGTTTTTCTATTAACCCTTTGCAGGATTCGAGGAGTTCACTATCGAACTATTTGAAATTTTTATTAAATTTGTAACATTGTGACCAAAATGAATCGTAATTATTTCACCTATTCCTGCAACGGGCAGTTATTTCGGCGTATTCATATTACATAGCATAAAAATGAATGATGAAAGATGAGCATTAGTCTATGTAACTGTACATGTATATAAAACTCTATGTAGTGTATACGAATCTATATCAGCTTTTCCTCTCCATGAGGAAATTCTCCTGGCAACGTTGTAGCTCTGCACAATACATCAGCCTCATGTATAGAAATAATTGTATATTTTTCAATTTAGTCTTCTTCTTCTATTGATTCGATGTATTAAATTCGAGTTTATAATTTTTTTTTTTTTTGTATCTTCCAAATTCTTCTTTTTACGTATATTTTTACCTATATATAAATATTGAAATTGCTTCGAATAGCTACTAATATGAGCAAACAAAATCTTCGAGTGTAAAAGATTTGTAAATGTTATATATTTATTAAATCGATCAATAAATTCATGAACATATATATATTACTAATATATATTTATATTAAATATTAAAACTTTAATTTGATAATCATTTATATTATATACATTTTAATGTTCCAGAGCATATTATAAAAAGTAAGAATACAATGTACTCGTACGCCTATTATGAAAATTTTAACCTTTATATACCTTTGTATTTTGATAATATTATTCGTAGTTATAATAATTCTTATATTAAAATATTGCCACAAAATAAATAAGTAGAATTTGATTAAGATCCGAAAGATATTTACTTTTTTAAAGCCAGCATTCAAAACCATATATAGAATATCAATAAAACTATATTGGAAATCATTATAGAAAAAAAGTGATTTCGTGCAGAAATAAATCGAAAAGAAGAATGGTAACTTTTTATTTAGCACTTTTATTTAATATAGTGCTATAACATCTATGTATAACATCTTGTTAATTTTATATTTTAGGTTTCTAATTTCTTTTTACATGAAAATCCATTGTAATAGAATTTTTCTTATAATTATTTAATACAGATTTTCACACTGTGTTATCCCTGAAAACTACAATTATATCATCGATATAATGGTCTCTAGGAGAACTCCAATTTTAAAGAACTGTATCTAAAAATGTTTAAAATAATTGTGTTCCATTGCAAAAATCGAATATTTATATGATTATTTATAAATTTGTACAAATCGAACATATAACGATAATTATTTTTTTGGCGATCCTTCGAAGCTATTATAATTAAAATAAATATGGTGTAAATCTATCGTTGTATTTATCATAAATTTTTTATATGTGATATCTGAAATTGTGACTTCGTTTAATTTGTAATATGATTCCATTTTCTATCTTGTTTTTTTTTTCTTGTTGTGTAAATAGATTGATTCTTGAAGGATATAACTAATATTTTCCTTGAATTATATTTTAGTAGATTATGATCTCTAGAGCTAATTATCTTGTCTTTTGCTAATGAAGAATAGCAATTTAATGGATATCTGATATTTTGATCGAGTAAAATTGTGCGGCAATTGTTAAGAAATTTTTAAAAATATTATAAGAGAAATTATTGTTATTTTATTATATACGAATTGTAGAAACAACACATGTATCAAATTTTCTATTTATACATATACTTCTCTTAAGTTCTTGTAATAGTACTGTATGTAAATCTTTTATTCTAACAAATCAAATAAGTTGAATCTTTTTAAAAAGTTGGCTCCAATTATCGCTTTTTGCACAATGAGATAGCTTTGATGATTAATCTCATTCTGTTATATTTCCTTTATAATATAATGGAGATTAATTTTTTTTTAATTCCTTCAAAGATAATTTCAAAAATAATGCATGGTTTTTTGCATTTAAACGTAATTTCTTTCCGAATGTTTTATAAAAGAAACGATTCGAAACAATGGAGATTATCTTTCAATCTCTATCTACGCTTTAATTTTTCTTTCGTGGTCTTCTCTGCATACGATGTTGGCATTAGTTGTGATTCTTTTACTCCTTATTCTTTTAGTTTTTTTTTCCTTTTTTTCTAAAAAGATTTTTTTTTTTCCAGGTTTCGATACCAATGTGATAATATATGTTTTTATTGTAAATTTAACAAATTGTTTAACAAAAATAGAAGTTCTTTAATTAAATATAGAATGATCTCAAAATGTTGATTAGTAACATTTCAATAGATATTTAATTCTCATTGTTTTTTTATATATTTACTAATAAATATTTTAAAATTCAATTCCGATTTGAATTATTTCGATATACCCGTCGTTATGATAATTATGATAATTCAGGATTATACGTATACGAGTATAAAATATGTTATAATGTAAACTGGGAAATGATAAAAAAAGAAGAAAAAAGGAAATGAAAACGAGAAGTTTGAATGAAATCAATAAACTAAATTGACTAAAGCAAGGAGAAACATATTTCATACATATTATAATGAATTCAAATAATATATTAATAATAAACTGACAAAAAAAGAAAGAGAAATACTAGAAACAGTATATTAAGAATGAAAATAATATAAAAACAACTTTTTTTGACAATAAAAGAAGCAATGTATAAATATGTATAAATATAAAATTAAAATGTATGAATATATATAAGAGAATTTAAAAAATGAATAAACAAGACAATATAAAATGAAAAAGCAAGATAAAAATGAAGGATTAAAGTAGAATAAATGAAAGAAAAAAAAAAAAAATAAGGAAAAAAGGAAAGAAACAATCCTGTGATTGTAAATAATATTATAGACAAGTAATAAACTCTATCCATAAAATACAATAATTTTCAATTACATGAATAATGTTTTGTTAATATAGATATTCATATTAAATATCCTTAAACTATTTTAATCTAATCTACAAATATAATAAATATGTATATTATTTACTAATAAATATATATGAATAATCAAGTAAATTGAAATTTTATCTATTATCTTGATTCAATTCTTATTGAATGGTTTACCTTATTATATATTTAAATTTTTTTTAAATTAATTATAAATATATATAAATTATATAAAAAAATATAGTTCAAAAGGAAATAAACAAGATATATTTAACTTAATATATATTTTATACCATAAATTTTCTTTGATAATAAGTTTAATAAGTTTAATATAAATTTTTTATTAATTATTATGATAAGATTATTTTACTTTTAAATATGCAATTCATAAGAATGAAATAATTTATCTTTGAATAAAAAAAAATAATCGTTATTTGATTTTCAATAAAACAATATTATTAAATGAAATATAGTAATAAAATATTAGTAAAAAAAAAAATTAAGTTAAAAAAACAAATATGAAATATGAATTTTATGTATTAATAATATTTCCAATATATATACATTTTTTAAATATATAATTGCATACGTATACTATAATTTTTTTTAATAATTGATAATCGTTTTATAAATCTTTACTATAATATGATTTGTCTTACTTATATACATCTTTTGTATATACATATTTAATTAAAGATTTATATCATTTAAAAAATATATTTGTTTTATATATTCATTTAATATTATCTAAAGAGAGGTTAAGGATATATATTAATAATTATAAATATTTATTACTGATAAACTAACCACAGATATTGTTATCAACATACACTTCAACTTCTTCTTTTCTTTTGCAATGTGACATATTTGTTTATCAAATATTACAGGATTAAACTTAATTTTGTATAGAGTATGGTACTATTTAATTGATAATATGGTAATATGATTTCAACTTGTTGGCAGAAATTTAATTTACATGTTGGTTTGGTTTATTGAGTTTTGTAGGAGAGAAGATCTTCTACTGTCTTATTAAATGTTTTTTTTATGTCAATACTATGAATTTGATGATGGACATGATATATAATATCCTGATTAGTTTAGATTGATAAATAATATAATATATATTATATTAGGAAATATATAATATATATTAGGAAATATTCCATATCGAATATTCCATATTCTTAATCTCTTTTATACATAATTAAATCTTTTTTATTCACAAAGAGAGTAAAATTGCTTGATTATTTTAATAGAACTAGTAATAGAACTGCTATTTATTATAGAATAAATACATTTTTTGGTAAAAAAATATATACATAGTGATTTAAAAATATAAATTATAATAACTTTAAACAAGATAATAATAATTTTTTATTATATGAATTATAATCAATATATATTTATTAAAATTAAATGATTTATTAAATTATTCTTACAATAATATTAATTTAAAAGAAACAAAGAAAAAATTTTAAAAAATTGAGATTTATTAAAGAGTGAAGAAAATAGTTATAAAAAAAAAAGAAAAATGAAGAAGAAGAGAATGAGGAGAGGAAAAAGAAAAACTATTAAATTAATGATTAAATAATAAATAAATTTGATTATTATTCTAATACTTAACTTAAATTTTAAAATAAATGTTAATAATTATAAATAATAATTATAAATATATATAAAAAATAAAGTATGTATTAAATATTTGAAATTATACAATAGTATTATACCGTATATGTAATATTAATATTCATATATATAAATATATTTATTATATTTTTTTATATATTTTATATTGTTATAATTAAACTGATTTTATTTAAATGAATATAATTAAAAACAATATTTACAATAATATATACAAAATAATACTATTATAAATTTTTTTATTTAATAATAATAAATTAAGTAATTTTATAATTTTAAAATATAATAAAATTAAATTAGATATTTAAAAATTAATTTAAAAATATATATTTGTTTTAGTTACATGTTATTTTATTATAAAATTAATATTATTAACAAAAAATATTATTTTTATAATATACATGTACACGTATTTAAATATATATATATATATATATATATATATAAAATACCGTATTAATTATACATCAATATATATTACATACATATTAAATATATATATATATTTTTTCAATTATTGCATATTTTTTTGAATAAACAAAGTTATAAAAATTATATATTGCTTTATGTTTCGAAATATAACATTGTTTATTTTATTTTACTTAGATCGTAAACATATAATATTGTTTATAATTTATTTTAATATCGAGTAAAAATAATATTACATTAAAATTAATTAATTATATATACATTATTATACATACTTGTACAAAATACAAATGTAACAAAACGTACGTACTAGTGCTTATGTTATGTACACAATCTATGGATAAATGAGCTAATGCGCATGGTAATGAAACCGGGAGAAGCGTGTGTATATCGTATCGGTCACGTGTGACAAGAATTTTTCTTTTTTTAAGTAAGTATAACATTTTAAATATATATCATTTATATATATATATGAAAATATATATATATAAATATTCCATATTATATATGAAAATTTCGTATAAAATTTCATAAGTAGTTATTTAGTGATTGGTAGACAGCGTTGCAAAGACACGCTATTCGCGTTGTATTGTATAAAAATAATTTGTGAAACGATATTTTGTAGATGATGTTATATTTTATACTAATCCGAAAAATACCAACAGTGATTTAATATAATTTTAAATTGACTTTTATTAATTCATCGGTAATTAGGAGGCGTGGCATTTTATGTAGCTCCGTATGCTTTGTACTCACGTTTGGACACGTGCACTTATGATATGTATGCCATGTCATATGTATATACGCGCGTGTAGAAGCATGTTTCGAACCTAACAAAGAAACTTATAATATAGTTAAATGTGATGATAATATAATATCAAAAACATTAGAAATTAAATTTCTATTAAATCACTATATTGCATTACTACGGACAAAGTATAATTTCATAATGTAAGTGTATCTAAATTGTTCATTTACAATTCTGTATCACTTCGTTTGACAATTTGATTCTTATCGATTGTTCATATTTATACGAACGGTAATTAACTGTAAACTTTATATTTTCTATTATAAAATTTAACTGTTAAAGATTTTAAGTATTTATTTCAAAATAAAACGCAACATTAATTTTTATATTCATTTTATATCAAAATTCAAGTTATGCTATCTATGTGTCAAATATAACCTCAAATAAACGCGTGGTTGTTTGGTTACAGTATATGAAGTATCATAATTATTCTATTATTTTCAATTACGAATTGGTGTGTGAGCTGCAAGATAAGTTTTTAGTATTATTAAATATTGTGACATGGAAACTGGATATTTAAATTTTCACGATGAAGAACAATTTCCTGATTTTTCATTATCTTTGGAACAGGTAACAAATTTATTAAATTTTTGTTAAATATAACGAATATTTTCATAATTTCTTCTTAATCTCTTCTCTTCATAATTTAAATTTTATTTATTTACATTCTTATTTATACTATATATCAGCAAAAGTATTTATATAACAATATATTAGAATATTACAATATTTTCTTTCATTTGTATTTAAATTTTTATTTTGATATTATGATTATAATGATATTCTAATAATATTGATATAAATATTTTAATTAATATTATTAAATTTTAATTAATCTTTACTTCTTATAATTATATATAATATTATTCTTTAGATTTGTCTATTAAATATGCAATTAATTTTTTTTTAAATTTTATAAATATTAAATTATGATTGTTTATATCTAAAACTTAATATTGCTATTAAAAAAAAAAATAAGTCTCATAAAAGCTTACAAAACTTAAAAATGTAAAAATGTAATAATATATTACATATAATAATATATTTTATCGTATGTTTCAATAGAATTTAATGGAAAAACCTCAAGATTTATTAATGCATATGGTTGAAAATGATTTTGATTATATGGAAACACATCTTGATATCACAAATTCTGATAGATTATGGAATAAGGAACACGAGTAAGTTATAAACTTAAAATTTAATCAATTAATAATAATTTTATAATTTAATATAATTTTTATAATTTTATAAAATTTAATATTTTATAATTTCAGACATAATGAGGATACAGATGAAATGTCAATTTCAGAAATTTCTAATATTTCTAAAATTGATAGTATTAAAGAAGATTTTGCAAAAGTTCTTACGGATTGGCATGAGCATATCGGTTATTTACAGGTTTCGCTAATTCTTTGGTTCGTTAAATTTATTATCTTTAACGATCCAATTTGTCATTCAGAATTTTGTTTCAGACTTCAGACATTGATGAATATATGGATATTATAGGATTAAGTATGAATGGAACAGATAAAAGAAATTTTTGTACTTCAGAAAGTATACTTCAAGATGAACAAGCAATACATAGCTTAGAATCTAATTTTCTTATAATGAAACAAGAAGATTTAGAAAAAGAATCTCTTCATGTTAATCAGAGTACATCCGGTTTGAAAAGCACCGATAAAGGCATAATAGATTTATAATTTATTTAATAAGTTTTTCATTCATTCAATAATAATATTTTTATGATTATACAAATTTTTTTTTTATAGAGTACATAACAGAAAATAATTCATATCATAAAATTGGTGACTTTATGAAAAATGATAATAAGAAATTAGAAACAGAAGGTAAATCATTGTTAATAGAATCTGAACATTTAAAAAAGCAAAAAAAGAACATACATAAATATGATAGCATAGGAATCAATACAAGTACAAATGTACTAGCAAAGCAAAAAAAGAAAAAAAGAGAAAAATGCTTACAACGCAAAAAAGATACACGAAACGATAATAATAAATCTGATCAAGATAATAAATCTGATAATCAATTACCAGGTATTTTATTAAAATTTATACGTAAATATTTATTTATAAAAATTATTTATAAATTCATCATATTGATTTTCTTTTTTATCAAAGTTTTGGAAGCAGGAGATGTTAAAAGTTTATTAGAACAATTTGAAGCTTCCGAAAGTACTTTAGTATCAAATTATTCATCTGTCAGAATAAATAGGGAATATGAGTTGGATACATCTATAAAATCTAATGAAATTCAACAATGCATAAAGCAATCTCAAATTTCAAATCTACATAAAAATATCAGAGATGCTTTACCAAAAGAAGTTGTTGAAAATATAAAGGTAATTATATAACTAATTAGTATAATAAAGAAATATTTAGAATAAAAATAAAGATAAAATTCATTAAATTGTATCATATATTAGACATCTGCACGCAAAAAGGTGATTTCAGTAATACCTGCAATGCCTAATATTCAAAATACTAGTCGCAACAATGGAACACGTATGCAGGATGCTGCTGCATCATTGTTTCGAAATAAGCTTTTAAAAATAGTTAAGTATAAATAATTTATAATAATATAATAATATATATTTATTACATTATATGTATAATAATATTTATCTATAGATAGATATATTTATCTATAGATAGATAAATATTATTATATATATAGATGTATTTTTAATATATAGAAGAATATATATATATATAATAAGTATCATTTTGATACTTAGAGAAGAATTGAATCTAAATTCTTATGAATTATTTTTTTTTAATTTCATCTCTTTCATAACAGTAAGCAAATAATTTTTTGTGCGTGCAATAAGATTTATTATCATCATTGCTATCATTATTATAATTGTTGCTATATCGTAAAGAAAATTATAAGTTGTTAATCATTATTTAATATAATAAATTAATATAAATTATTGCATTACGTCAGGTGACAAATAATACACAAAATACACAAAATAAGACCATCGATGGTGGACTAGTTCAACTGGATCATGATTATTGTAGTACTAATTCTTCAACTAGTAATTTAGATAGCAACAGTGAGTATGAAAATATAATTTGCTATTACTAAAAAAATTATATTTGTTAAAAAAAAAATAATGACCAACTATCTATCTCATTTATTATACAGCATATGAAAAACAATCGTTTTCATCGCATAGAAATATTATAAAAAATAAAGAATATTCGACTGAAAGTAATTCAAAGAAGGATAGTGGTTTAGAATCAGGCGAAGCAAGCGATAACAGTGAAGAACAAACAGGAATTACAACAGTTAATGATATTCAAGTTAACAAATCTATGAAAGAATCACAAAATGAAACAAATTGTCGAAAAGGAACATTAGCAAATGAAGAAAATTCTCATAAAATTAATATTTCAAATAATATTTCAAATTGCGTTATTTCTCATAGACAAAATATATCTACAAATAATTCAATATCTCAAATGAAAATGCATTCAGCTTTAACAACAAATATTTTGCAAATACAAGATGTTGTAAATAAAACAAAATCTATAAAAACAGGAAATCAGAGAATAAAACAAATGGTTTCTGTATTAAAAAAACCTAATATACAAGCACCTATTGTTAAAGTTATTCCTAATGAAAGTATAGTAACTACTACTAATAGCTTACACGATAAAGTTCAGAATATTATTGTTCAAAACAATGAAAAAACATGTACAGAAAAAGAAGAAAAAAGACCTCCTCGTAAAAAATTAAATTTAGCAGAATACAGAAGTAGAAGAGAACAAAATCGTAGTGACAATAGTAGAACAAATTCACCAGTACAACCTATGAAACTAATATATGTTCATCACGCTTCCACTACAACTGAACCAATTAAAGATGACCCTCAAAATTTAATCTGGTCAGAAAGAGAAATTGTGTCAGTTTTGAAACCAAAACAAGATATAGATGAGAAAAAAGTTTGTCCAAAACCTTCCACTTGTGAAATAGGAATTCAAACTTATGAAACAGTATTTGAATTTCCTCCGAAATCTTTAATCGATGTTGATGAGAGACATAAGCAACAAAGGTAAAAAAAATATTTTTATTCAATTTGATATCATTTTTATAATAAATATGTATTATAAATACATATTTATTATAATGTATTAAAAATATGTATTATAATTTATAATTTTTTTTTAATTTATATATGAAATTATTAATTTTCATTTTTACATTCAATTTTATTTTTTTATTTTGTCCAAAAAATATTTGATATTCAATCAATTTCATATTTTTTATCATTGCATTCATATAAATGTTATATATGAAAATGGAAAATATTGGTTAACATCGATATAATTAATGTGATCCTATATCTTTCAATTATTTTTTTATATGTTTTAAATATAATAATAAATTTAATAAAAAAGAAATATATATATATATATATATATATATATATCTGCTTAATAAATATCTATATTAAATTTAAAAAGTAAAAGTTAACAACAAACAAATTGATTTTTTTTTACACGAAATAAATAATCAATAATCTGTATTTCTATAAACTTCATAATTTTCAGGAACAATAACGTACAAGATAAAAGTCAACGATCTCATAAAAAACATGGAATTAGTTCTAATTTGAGTCGATCTAGATCAAGAAGTAATAGTAAAAGCAGAAGCAGGAGCAGAAGTAGTACTAATCGAAGTAGATCTCGTAAACGCAATAATACAGGTCATCGAAAAATAAGTCGACGTAGCTCCGTTAGCTCAAATAGTACTTGGTCATCACGATCACGATCTCGATCTCGATCTCGATCTCGATCTCGATCTCGATCTCGATCACGATCACGATCACGATCACAATCACGATCGCAATCGCGGTCACGTTCGCGATCACATTCACGTTTACGTTCGCGTTCGCGTTCGCGTTCGCGTTCGCGTTCGCGTTCACGCTCGCGTTCACGTTTACGTTCACGTTCACGCTCGCGTTTACGTTTACGTTCACGTTCACGTTCACGTTCACGTTTACGTTTACGTTTACGTCCTCGTTCACGTTCGGATACAAGATCTACTTTCAGTTCAGGATCAAGATATTCACGATCACGTTCTAGATCAAGATCTCAATCATCTTCTCGATATTCTAGTTGTTCTAGGTAAATAATTATAAATTATTTATTAATATTATTTATATATTATATAATATCATATAATATAATATAAATTATATAATATTAATTATAAAGTTTTAATAAATAATTGATCAATTAGTTCTAACTTAAAAAAAAATATAAAAATATTTATAGGTCTTCATCTCGTTCAAATTTCGGAAGGAATAAATGGTCAAGAAGGAGAAGAAGACAAGAAAGAAGATATCATACTAGTTATGATAGACATAGGCAATATTCTATGGGCAATTATCATAATTATAGGGATTGGAGAAGGTAAATAATTTGAAATAATTTTAAAATTGCCAATTTTTTATTCATTCAAAAAAAAAAGCATAATTTATCCTACATTCTTTCTAAGTTAAATTTTCATGTTCCAAGAATTAATTTATAATGTTTTGCTATTTTTAAACAAATTTTTATGCGTTGAAATTGAAATTGAGACATTACAATTTTAAAATTATTGGCATGTACAATTATACCATATAATGAATATTATAATTATAAATATATTTGTCTATAGAATAAGCTTTACTTAAAATTATAATAAATTTTCTTCATTTTTCTTTTTGGATTCATAAATTGAATTATAAAATAATAACATATAAATATTTTTATTCATTTTAAACAAAGAACGAATTTCATTGCGAATGAATTTAAGATTCGAAATGATATGTATATATCTATGTTTCATTAAAAAAAATTATTTAATTTTTTAAACTTTATAATCATTTAACTTTATAAAATTTTCGAGGAAAATTAAATTAATATCAGAAAGATAGAAATAAAGATTTCAATTATGAAATAATTATAAATCACTTAAGATATATAATAATTATAATAATTGTATGATATCTCTTCACAAAGTTCTGACAATTCAAACATTTCATTTAATTTGAAAATTTAATGATTCTTTAATCTTCTTTTTCTTTTTAGCTATATATCGTAATTTTTCATTCAAAATTTCTTTCAAAAGTTCAAACTCAATTTTTATACGATTGAAAAACTGATAAACTCTTTGGACAAAGTCATTTATGTATATTAAATTTTTTGCACTTATATATATATTTATTAGATCACCTCCAACTTCGTATCGGCGATCCTATCCTGAAAATTGGTATGATCGAGAGAAACAAAAACAAGTAGAAGAGCGAAGAGTGATTTACGTTGGACGCTTGGATGAAGGAATCACTAAAGCTGATTTACGTAGAAGATTCGAAACTTTTGGTCCTGTAGTAGATATTAGTGTACATTTTCGTGAGCATGGGTAATTTTTTCATATTTTGTTTTATATTTGATTCTTTATTATTATTTTCATAAAAACATAACGAATTTACATTATATATTTACATATACATTTACATTTACATATTATCCTTTGTTTATTTCAGCGATAACTATGGTTTCGTAACTTTTGCTTATAAAAACGATGCCTACGAGGCTGTAGAGCACGGTAATGACGATCCAAGTTTACCAAGATACGATTTATGTTTCGGAGGTCGACGTGCTTTTTGCAAAGTGAAATATGCCGATCTTGGTACGTATCATATTAAATATTTATCGAAAAAATAAATTATTTAAAAAAAAATTATCTTAACAAGTCTATCGAAAATAATTTTTTATTTTGTATTTCCGATTAAAATATGAAAATTAATTTATTTATTTGATTTTGCTAGTATCGAATAAAACAAGAATATTCCATATAGTCAAAGATTTTTAATATCATGAGAATAATTACAAGCGAAAGAAAGATATTTATTTAGAATAAAATCAATATAGCGTTGAATTTAAAATGTACAAATAATATTTTTTTTTTGGCAGATGGTATGGCGAGCAGTTCACTTAATAATGGTCACATGTTACAAGATAATGAAGATAACACATTTGATCTTCTATTAAAAGAAGCAAAAGCAAAATTACGTAAAAGAAAGGTTTGACATATGTACTATTTGCTAGTTTTAAATGTAATTTAAAAAATTAGCAAAGATGTCATCAATAATATTTGGAACAAAAATAAGTGGAGAGATCTATACTAGTATTTTCCACTAACAGAAATATAGTAAAAGTTACAGAATAATTGTTATAGAGTATAAATAAGTGTTGCAATATCGCACTTGTAATAAAAAATAATAATTAACAGCTGTATTTTTTGAATTAATTGAAAATATCAATAATTTAAATATGTATAGGATTTTGATATTTTCAATAATAATGAAAGTATTAGATCTTTTCTATGTAAAAGTCTGCTTAGTTAAAAATATGTATATGACTCTATATAATAGATTTTATTTTACTCGTGATTTTTATAAATAATTTATTGAACGTAATACAATTAATTACACACGCTCTCCTGGGTGGACGCATTTAAAGTAGACAAAAATAATTGTAATTTAAATATTTTAACTTGAAAAATGCATTGAAATCATCATCATAATAGATATTTGTTCACAATTATTTGTTACGTAAAGAAACGTAACATTTTCATTGTCTTCAAAAATATCATGTACCGATCGAAATGAAATATATCATGGATTAAAAGCTCTCAAAAACTTATATGTTTATATAGAAATACATAAATACATAAACAAAAAATAATTGAATCGGATGTATGTAATACATTTATCTTATTTTTTAATAATTATAATTTTTAGAATGATTTAAGGTGCGTTTAATGTTAAATGTATAATACGGTATATATGCGTATTTAAACTTATTTTTACTTACAATTATTTTTACTTACAATTTAATATATATAGAAATTAATTTTCATATCTCCACAAATTAAAATCCCATTCACATTTATTATATTATATATTATATAAATTTTTAAATATATTATCAATTTTTACCTTTAAATAATTTAAAAATAAAATAAACTTTTGTCACATAAGTTTTTATTTTTATATACAAAATAACATTTTGAAAATAATATTTTAATATTCTTTATAAATATATATCATTATTTTTAGTAGACATTTTTCCTTGTTAATTTTTCATCCAATAATATAATATAATAATTAGATTTCAAATTTAATATAAATTTCACATAGATTAATATCGAATATTTAAAAAAAATTTAAAGGTAAGAAATGAAAATATTTATTATAGAATTTTAATTAGATATATTTTATTTTAAGTGGAAATTGATGACTTTAAACATTAAATTTAATAGTTTTATAGATGTAATTAAGTACGATGATGAATTATTGAAAAAAAAAAAAATTTAAAAATTTATAAGAATGAAATTATAAATTAATAGTTCCTATTATATAATAAAAATATAAATATTTGTTTTCAATTTTGAGAAATATCATAATTTCTCTTCACGATGAAACGTCAATTTTTATATATCCGAATTGTAATAATTTTTATGAAACGTGTGCTGTACTCATGTTGATGAAATATTAACATTTAGTCGGCTAATGTTATAAATGTAATTGTTTATGTATTACTTAATTATATTATAAATTTGACACGATATAATAGATGAATCACAAATTAGAATATTTTTATTTGATAATAAAAATATACAAAAAAGAAGTATCTATGTTTATTGAATCGTATATTGCCAATCATTATTAAATTTAACATAGATTATTATTTACATTTTTTACATAGATTAAAATATTTTATTAATATGTATATATCAAATTTATTTATTGTATATTTATTATATATATTACAAACGAAAATCGCAAAAGTATTTGAACAGTTAATTGATGATATTTTACAAATTATCACCTTTTCCTTTTTCTTTTTTCTTTGACATTAATCATAATATTTTTTTAAAATAATTTTTCTTTCACTTCAAATATATATGAAGTAAAGCATATTGCATTCGTAAGAAACATTTAATGATTCTTTCATATAATTTTGGATTTATTTTAAATTTTATATAATTTTAATAATCGTATCTATCGTTTATTGTTAATAACTATCGTAATTGTTAATAACAACTTAAAAAAATTTTGTATAAATATATATATATATATATGTACGTATTTCTTTTATGAAAATTGTTTAAATATGACATTTATGACTTGCTTATATCCGTATTATATTACTGTAAATCTGTAAGTATAACCTGATATAGGCACAGATGATTCTGAGGTGAGATAAATTTAATATTTAAAAAACTTTACTTATATCCTACTACTTATATATACTATATATTATTATATTCTAAAATAGCGATCGCGTATAAAAAATCAAAGTATATATACATATATTTATATATCTTACTGCCTATATATAAATAATTAAAAAATATATATATATTATTGTATAATTCTGTAAATTAATATGTAAAATATATATAAAATATATATAAAAATATATAGAAAATAAAAAAAAACTTATACATATATATATATATATATATA